TGTCGCTGAACCGGCTGAACCACCACAGAGGCCAAAAGAGAGAATGAATGAATTAAAGGCGTGCACCAGAAGAAGTCGTCCATTCCAACGCGGAAAATGCCATGGCTGTACATAAACATGCATGATGTGATCCGCAGATAAAGCGTGGCCGTGTCCCTCTCCAGCAGCTCGGTCCGGTTACCTCTTACACCTGCATAGCCCGGGATGGCGAGGACGGGGAGCCCGGCGCATGTTAGTTCCGATTATCGGTTATCCATAACGATTTGATTCCAGCGTATGTTTTGCCGGGAGCTTCAGGTGCATCGGCGTTGAGTGAGTCAGTAATGCCGGGTGTGATGTCGGTCCTGAGGTGGCAGCAGCAGCAGCAGCAGCAGCAGCAGCAGCAGGATGTGCGGGAGAGGCGGCACCGCGCCTGCTGACAGATCAGCAGATGCGGAGTCTCTCCTCTTAAAGAGCCCGCCGACATGTCAGAGGGACGGCGTCTGACAGAGAGGTGATGCTGCTGTGTCGCTCTCTGTGGCTGGAAACTCCCGGAAATACTGCACCTCTGCCCACATGCCCCACTATGGAAGCCTGTTTCCACCAGCGAAAGAAAAATAAATATCCTCACGGTAAATCGAAATTATGAGATAAAAAAAATTTGATATTATGAGATAAAAAAGTCCTAATTATGAGATTAAAAGTCAATATGAGATTTTTAAAAAAAGTCCTAATTATGAGATAAAAGCCATATGAAGATTTTTAAAAAAAGTCATAATTATGAGATAAAAAGTTGATATGAGATAAAAAGTCATAATTATGTGATAAAAGTCATAATTATGAGATAAAAAGTTGATATTATGAGATAAAAAAGTCATAATTATGTGATAAAAGTCGTAATTATTTGATAAAAAAGTTGATATTATGAGATAAAAAAGTCATAATTATGAGATAAAAAGTCATATTTTTCGACGCCAGAGCCTCTTCTTTCACAAAATCCCTTCAAGGATGCAATCCCATGTGAATTTACAAGCAAATGAAGTATTTCATTAGTTGTAAACCCACATGAAAATAGTCCTCTATGAACCTACAATCCATCTCAGTGTCAAATTGAATAGGAGATCTCACGCAAAAGAGCTGCTGCAACTGACGAGCTAAAGTATCCCATAATTTTGACTTTGACTCTGTAGAAGAAGTAGCCCAACATAATTAACAAGACAAACAACAAAATATAGTTTAACACAATCAAATACAGACTGAAAGTGGTACAGTAAAAGATACACATATAAAAAATATATTAATATTTTAAACCTGGAGCACAAATTGAATGTTTTCACTGCTTTTCTGTCACGTGAAGTAGATGCTGTTCTGATGTAGGACTCTGCTTCCTTCTTAAAAGCACAAAAAGAGGGTTTCATTTTTGGATATAAAAGTGTTTCCCATCTGTTGCTTTTTCTATCTGTCAACATTTCAGCTCGTCCAATACTTTGGTTTATAACTAAGTATTTAAAAAACGAACAGCATTATCTTCACTCTCATCTGTTCTTTGTTTTTAGTACTAATTACCAAATGTTAGCATGCTAACTTGCTAAAGTAACATCGTGCCTGCTAGCTAAACACCTGCCTGTTAGTATCGTGCATGTTTTGAGCTCGATTGACTAATTATATAATCTGTAGAAGTAAAAATTAATTTCAATATGGATTGTAAAAGTATCATTACATGTTATGAACATGTTGATTTGATGATCCTATAGTAAATTTCCTATATGTAAACGTAGAGCGACAAAAATCATTTGGATGGTTTCACCTCCTCAGACCACTACATGCAACTGAAATGAGACTAACTGAAGAGAAAACATCCCTTTCTGACTGATCTGCTTGTGCTGACGTACAAGAGGTCACGATAAGATCACTTTGCTTTGAAGGGCTATAAGTCAAAAAGATTGTGAACTGCTGATTGAGCTGATAACATCTGTGTCAGAGAAAAGTTAGTTGTCTGTAAAATATGAGTAAGATGCATAAAGGTAAGATTATCCTTTACATCTACAAATCCAAACTATATTGAGACTTTGTCACGTGTTTTCTTTCTGTGCAAAGATCTGTCAACATACTTCAGCTCGGCTTGAAGAAGACAACAACATGCTGCAGCAGCTGCCTTTTGTCTTATTTCTGTGCTGTTGACCTTTGCACTAAAATGGGTTTTCCAAGAGGAAATTGATTAAGTTGTCTGTTTGTTTGTGATAATTTGGTTGGTCAGGTCTGGCTTCACTTCCTCAGCAGGTCAATAAACCCTGAAACAGCACTAACCAGGGTGGTGAAGCAAACTACACAAGCTGCTCCAGCACTGCTGACTTCAGATTAGAAAACGCCACAGCTTCCCCTCCTCTGTTACTGACCCGTTCCATTAGTGCACGTACATGTGAAACTAGGAACATTTTTATGGGCTGTATTTCTTTTAGTTTAACCATTTACAGGCTCCTGGTATTTCACATCACAGCATGTTGACACACAATAACTGAATGAAGTTTGATTAATTTAGTTGTTAGTTATAACTGTGATTTTTTTCCAGCTACAAAGAGGAAGGTAACACGTCTGCTGGAGCAAATACAAATAAATGTGCGGTGGTGGTTTTAGTAAGTGTGGCATTGCTGCCATCTAGCTTTCCATCAGAATAACTGATCCACATCCACACACACTATTTTAAGCAGAAGTCATTAATCATTTCTGTCTGCTTCCCTGATACGCACCTTCTCATGAACAGAAATTCTTGTATAAAATTCATCTACACAAAGAACACGGATGTTTATTTTACATTTTATTTGAAAATGTATTTTCAAAGGGGGAAACGAGGCATGTGAAAAGGAAATTGAGGACCCTTGTTTTTTGCAAAAAAAAAATGTGTTGAATGTTAGTGTTCAAGTGTGCATCTGTTTTTGCAATTTACAATCCACTTCAAGTGTTTGTTGTTGACATGATTAGGAAAAACAAAAACAACAGAAATGCATTGAGACAGTATTTGTTTATGCTGCACAGGAGAAACGCTCTTCATCCTGTTTTAATGATTAGTCCTTGTTGACATCATTTTACAGTAACAGTCTTTTTGTGAAGTGATTACAGTGATGCAAGTGAAAGCCGTGTTTCACAGTTTCTGCTCTATGGAACATGTAGTGCGTCCTCAGAGGTGCGGCGGCCTGTAGCGACGCCGCCTCTGTCCCACTTCCTGTGCGTTGACCCCACTCCTCTTGGTAAGTGTTAGGAGTGAGGTTATTAAAGTTCATCTGCTTTCTCAGTCCCTCATTTGGAAAGGTCATTTGGCTCGGCCTTGTTCTGAACGTCTGGCTCAGGTTGAAACATGTCAGCAAAGTGAAAACACTTTGCGACTGTTTACTTAAAACTTCATTTATCATCAGATACTGACAACGTGCCTCAATTACTCTAAATGAATACTGGGGCTGCAGATCAAACTACAATTACACAATCATTTTTGAGCACAACTGCTGTGTCTGAATCACCAACTGTAATTACCACCTCACAGCGGTACGTCTCCACCAACCAATCATGTTGCAGTTTACATCTGTCTGTCCAGGGTCATACAATATCTGTATTTAAGACTTTGAAGGAATTTGATAAAAAAAGGTTCTGATTTCTGATATAGGAATGTATAAACAAAATTCGTTTGATTTGATTTTGTTGAGCTTTGTTGTTCTTGCTCTGCTCCGTGTGGAGATCAAATCCCTTCTGTGTGTCAGCTACTTGGTCAATAAAGCTGATTGTGATGGATCACAAAGTCGTGGCCATGACAGTAGACAACGCTTCAAATATAGATGTTGCTGCAAAGATGCTACAAATTCAATGTGGACCCACGAGATTTATGTCCCCAATTCAGTATCTAACCAAATGTGAAACATGGTCACAACCTCCCGTTTTGTTCCTGAGTTACAGCGTTGAATAAGTGTTTTTGCAGAACATTAGGATGTCACAGTGAAGCTGACCTTTGACCCTTTGGATATAAAATGCCATCACTTCATCATTGGTTTTGTGAGGTCACAGTGACCTTTGACCTATAACCACCAACTTGTAATCGGTTCATATTTGTAAAGTGAACGTCGAGGCGTTCCTGAGACATCGTGTTCACGAGAATCGCACAGACGGACGGACAACGTGAAAACATTGTACAGCTGTGGGACTGAGAGACACCAGATGTTTGGTGTTTATTCTTTGAGCACACATCCTAAGTGAAGTTATTCTACAGCCGTTTGTATTAAGACACTATTACAGAATGATGCATTTGAGATGTTTGGCTTTTCTTGGTAAATAAAATAAAATAAAAGTTTTTTTTGTGGTAAAAATGAATTCATCCTTGGCAAAGCTCTTCAATTTTCAATGAGAAAAAAAAAAAAAAAAAAAGCTGCGATAGTGAAGGCTGATCATTGATGATCTGAGGCCGCTAATAAAGGCAATCTGACTGCAACTGATCCCAGACCTGTACTGAAGTCTTTGCTTCTGTGCATCCAGTTTCAGGTTGTCCCTGAAGGATGCACCGGGGAATGTAATCGTACTTTCTTACACACACATTTCCTCCCATTGAGACAAGAACCCCGACCGCTTTACATCTGTTTAACCATGGCATGACAGAACTGAAGCTACTCGCAGAGTGAAACTGCATTTCTACGCACAAAAGGCATTTGTGTTTTTTAAAAAAAAAAAAAAAGACTCCGCTACTTGACTAATGTTCAGTTTATCAAACAGGTGCAGGAGAGGCTGCAGCTCACGACTGAATTTACCACGTCAGTTTTAATTTCTGGCCACAATGACATTGAAGTATCAATAAAGTGGAACATTATTTACATGCCAATTTAAACATCTTATGACCTACAGCTTTAGTCAAAGGCAAACTGAACCTGTGTGTGTGTGTGTGTGTGGGGGGGGGGGGGGGGCAGGGCTGTTTAATACAAAGTTGTGCAGAGTACAAAACGTAATGCTCGCCACAAACGAAAGGCGAGAATGATAATCTCAGAAGACTGACAGCTTTGTTCCCCTCAAACCAGCACTGACAGGGTTACACACTTGGTCCTTAATCCTTCTGGGTGATGATGTCGACGACAACACCCTTCACATGTATCTTCCGCTTCATGTATACAGCACCATTAGCACGGGGTCTGGGGTCTGGGGTCTGGTCCCTGACGGAGGTGTGTTCAGAGAGACAGCCTGGCACTTAGGAAGACTGCCAGAGCGTCAGGAGAGAACAGTGGCAGTGAGTGGAGTGGAAAGAAAAAAAAAAAACAACAAAAATACAGCTGTCACCTTTGCATGGGGTCTCTGGAGCCCAGCGACTGTTTCCCACGACTGACTCCTTTCCTCGGAGCGTCTGGCTGCGGCAGCCCGACCTGCCGCCGGTGCCTTCCTTTGGCCTCTGGCTCTGAGTCACTGAGCTCCAGGTCGGGACAGTATCCGTCACTGTCCTGGTACGACCGCGCGCTTTTCACTTTGTGCTCAGACACCGGTTTGGCCCATAGTCTCTCCTTGGCCGAGCCCTTGCGGGACAGTTTGTCGGAGGCCCGCAGGTCCTCCGTGGTCCGTACCAAGTTAATGGTCGCCTCTTTGAATGACCTGCCGAAGTGCTCCATGGCAGACTTACGAAAGCTGCTCTTGTCCAAAGCTTCATTAGAAGCGTCCTGGTCACTGGGTGTCTGGCAAGAACTGTCCTTCTGAGCCACAAACTTCTCTAAGAGACTTTTAGATTTGGCCACGCACGCTCGGTCTTGGTCCAGTTTGCCGTTACTGTTGGACGAGTGGCCGTGGAGCGCGGCGTGCAGGGCTAAAGGTTTGCCAGTGGGTTTAACAGGCAGCGCCGGGCTGTTCGAGTGGCTTGAGGAAGCCAGACGGCCGTTGGAGCGCTCCTCTCTCCGACCACGACCGTGCAGCTGAGGCTTCCCCTGACCCAGCCCTTCACCCGCATGTTCAGCAACATTCCCACTATTGTCCGGACAGAGCGGCCCATTACCAGATTTGGGATTTCCATTTCCAAGATTTGAGACTTTGGGCATTTTCAGCTTCAGAGTTATCCGTGGAGGAGGACGAAACAGCATATTCTCCACTGGGAATGAAACAGGAAGGCCTGAGGACGAAGACAGACGGACAAACTCAAGTTCAGCTACGACTCAAATGACAACAGAATATTAATGAGAGAAGAATAACGCAACAGACGGCTCACCAGCAGACAGTTCCTGGTTCATGAGCTGCACGTGCAAGTTGAACATCTGCTCCTGGGCTTTACTCTGCAACAGCTTCAGCTTCTCCCGCCGACTCACCATGTAACACAGATTCCTCACCTGCAGAATAAAAACATCACTGTCTGTCAGTTAAACTGCAATCTTGTTGGAGTTTCCAAAAAGCTGGATACACACAAGTTTTCTGACTCTGACTCAGTCTCTACAAATTAACCCAAATTAAGTATAAATTAAGAATTAAGTCTCTATAGCTCCACAACGCTTATGGTGCTAACAATGCACAGCAATGTGACACATTTTACCTTTATCAAAAAAAAAAGAAAGCAGCTTCTGTGATTTGGTTATTGCACTTGACCATATTGTAATTTCGATTATATTTATATTAAATGTGCCGCCCTGGTTTTTCTGATAATAACGTTGATATTTTGGGCCAGAGCACACAGGCAGCCGGATGCTGCTCCTCACTTAATTGGATGACAAAACAAGATGCTTTAAAGATGTCACCTAGGGTTCAGGGCCTGACTTTTTATTAAACCAAAGGATTAATCCAGAATCAAACAGGCAGGATAACTGGAAATAGTAATTAGTTACAGCCCAACATTAGTGCAGTGTAGGACAAGACTTATAGGCCAATATGTTGATTGTAGCACATTAACTGACTCCTTATAAAAAATGCTCTCTGAGCATAAGAACCTTTAATAGGTATATAAAAAATTAATAAAATGAATAAACACTGCGTGTGCTGAGAAATGCTCTGTAACCAGACAAACAGACACTCGGCTCTAACAGCTACAACACTGCAGTGTAACAAAAAGCTCCCACCCTCTCCAAATCCTGACGCAGGTGCATGAACATCCGCATGCGTGTGTGGATGCTGTCCTCCTGAGGCTGCAGCACCAGGTTCTCCTCGTCCTCTTTAGGGGGCAGCAGAGCTTTGTTAAAGTTACTTTTCCTCTTCAGCTTCCAGTACTGATAGATGAAGTCCGCTAAGCGCTCTGAGAGCCCGAGGGCCCGGGCCAACTCCTCCAGCTGGATTAGAGTGTAGAACTCCTCCTCCAGCTCCTGCAGTCTCTGTGCCCGCTGGCCCACCTTCCCCGCCTCACCGGGGGGTTTGGAGCGAGCCGGGCTCAGGCTCGCCTCCCCGGCTTTAGATTTGCTGTGCTTGAGGCAGTAAGACTTGAACTTGACTTCATCCCCTTCGTCCAAGATGGTCTTCATCTCCAGGCTGTGCTCAAAGGCACATGTCACATGGAAAGGAGTGGTGCAGTTCTTTACAGAGCACTGGGAGCAGAGAGGAAAAACAGGTTATGTTTAGATGGACTGTAACCCAATTACTGGGAAAACAAGATTACGTTAAGAGCAGGATTTAAGCATTTACATATTTTGAAGAAACCTAATTTTCCTGGTAACTTGAGTTTACATGATTTGTTTCCTAACTGGATTACTGTCTGGAGGGTTGGTGGTTAGTGAAAGGAAGAAAATGTCTTAAAAAGAACAAGGAGGCCCCTATGATGATTATATGTCATCCTGAACTTACACAGCAGCTGAGAGGACAATTTTGACATTATGTGAAATAAATTTGTTCATTTTCTTGCCCAAAGTTAGATGAGAAAATGGATACCACACTCACGTCTGTAGAATATGAGATCTCTTATAGAAGGTTTCTTTATTATGCTTTAAAGAGGCTGTTTGTACGTTTTCTCTGCAGCAGAACGTGGTTTCTTGCCGGGAGCAGGTGGTGGTTATTGTCAATTGACAAGAGCTTCAGCCATAGATGCATTTACAAGACAAGAGGTTATAATACGTCTTCAGGGCAGATTGGAGGCTACAGTGAGTCGCTATCGGAAAATGACAAGACAGGTCGAGGCTAGCTTGTTAGCATGCTAACTTCAGTAGAAGAAAAGATGCGACAGAAACAAGAGTTAACATTGTTGTTGCTTCCCACCGCTGGAGACAGATCTTGGTGAGTAAAGGAATGAAGTTTGATGCTGAACTCACAATGTTTCTTCTAGACTGGTGAGTAAACAGCTGTGGATGCTAACGCTAGCTATGTAGCAATATGTTTATCCTTTGAAAAAAGTTCACTTTCAACAAAAGTCACTGTGCGGTGGTTAAGTTTGATTTTCAATCAAGTTTATATGAATATTTGGATAATCTTTTCCCCACTACAAACTGCAGTAGAATCTATGTCACGTCCGCCGCCTCCTTAAAGGAGCTGGAGTAACAAACCTCTTTAGGAGATTTTCTAAAAATGCCTATTTCCTTTCTGAACACGTTTTCACATTAAAGTTTTTGTCCGGATTAAACAAGCAAGATAAACATGTTTATTAGTGAGTTACAGGCGTGGCAGTGGGTGTAGTTTTTTCACTGGAAACACACTTGCTTTTTTCCCATTTCTTTATGCTTGAAAACCAATGAGTGTATTTTCCCAAAACTATTCCTTAAAAAACAAAAAACTCCAGATGGTGAATGCCTGATACTCAAAGGATAACTTTCTAACTGAGCTAACTAACTACCTTAACTAAGGTTGATATTACTAGTGACTGCACAGGATCCACACTCACCTGGATACATGCACCTGTCTTCAGTTTACACAGACTGCAGATGAGAGACCAGCGGCTGGGTGGGATGTGGGAGACTTTGGTGATGGGCTCCATCCTCTCAGGACAGGCGATGCTCACCTACAGAGCAGCATGAGAGGAGATTTATACTGTGAGGGTAGAACTTCTTAGAGAGGTCAGAAGGTGGAGCAGAGGACGCGAGTGCTTGTTTATTTACCTCCGGTATCCACAGGGCACAGCTGACATGTGCCCATTTGGTGCCTTCACGTGTAGCCTTCATGGCGCCGCCCTTCTGGGGACACAGGAGGCACTGCGGGTCGAGGCCGAGCACACACGTCCTGCACAGCCAGTTTCCTACAGGCACTTTGACTATGCCGTAGCAGGCCTGTGGGGAGAACGGCATTCAGTACCTGGTGAGTGGACTGAACGTATACAGTCCTAGAGACCGCTCTGCGACAGTCGCTGTGTAACTGACACATTCACTGACGACACATGAGGACGTTTTGCTAAAAATAATTAAGAAAATTTGCCTTTCAAATGTCCAACAAGCGACCGGTCCTAACAGCTATATTCAAATGTTTGTATCTGAACGCTAGCACAAGAGCTCGCTCTTATTTTCATGACTAAAACCAATTTATGAAGAAAAAGACTCTTGAATTTGGAATGAAGTATTATTGATCAATGTTTTTACTTCAGACATTAAATGACCATTTCTACTGTGTATTTCTTAACTGGATAATCTCTAAGTTCTTTAATTATTATACAGCTTCATTATTGTATTATAAATATTAAATAACTGATTGATCAGATGACTTGTGTTCACCTGGTGGACGCAGATGTTGCACTTGTCACAGAACACCATGTCATTCCCTTCCTCGCTGTCGGGGGAGCGGCACACGTCGCAGATAACGTCCTCGTCGTACTCGATCCCCAGACCCTCCACCGTCTCGATGGCGTGGTTCATGTTGTCATGGCACTGCCTCTCCAGGGCTTCCATGGCGCGCTCCATTGTTAGCTCGTCTATGGGCTCCTCCCCTGTCGGGGTATAATGAGCACAGATCTTAATGCTCCTGTTTCTAGCTCAGGAGGACAGATGTCCGCAGCTGCAGACTGGGATAGCACAATGTGAATTTTAAGATGGATTATCCTTTTTACAATCCCGCTCCTTACCCATGCGGTCCAGCTCTCGGTTGAGCGCGTGCAGCCAGTAGAGGTCCATGTCGTCCAGATCGTAGCGACACATGGCCTCTGCCAGCTCTTTGATGTTTACATAACCCGGTTCGGTCGACTCCTGGCAAGAGCACTGAATGTACTTCCTCTGGTGGCTGTACAGGACTTCCTTGGACTTCTCCGCAATAATTCTGAACAACAGAAGACACAAACACGTCAACACGGCTCTTCACACAATGACATAAATATATAGAACAGCTGGTTCGTTCTCAGCAGTCTGGTGACGGGGTCGGCGTTACCTGACTGACGGCTCTGGGATGGTTTCTGGACTTGCTGGCACCTGGACTCCCTTCTCCCACTCCTGCTTCCAGGTGTCTGCCAGCAGGTAGTAGTCCTCTGGGGAGACATGGTGGGAGTCTGGCAGCTTCATGGCACTGATCAGGTCTTTTCTGAACACCTGTGGGAGAAGGGAGAGAGGCCGGGGCGCACTTAGTCAGTCTGACGCTGATCTTCACAACACGCAACACAGAGCCTGGTGGTGGTGGTGGGGGGGGGGGGCTTACTTCAGCTGGTTTCTTCGGGTTGGAGGCGGGGGTTCCAGGTTTACTGCCATACTTGTTGGACGAGCAGAAGGAGGTTGAGGGACCTAAATAGAGTAAGAGGCTTTTAATAAAAGAGCTGTGGATAAAATAAAATGCAGTCCAGTTCAGGCTGTGGCGTCTCTCGGGCAGATGACTCACTCTCATTGTCAGAACTGTCGCTGCTGCTTAAGGACCTGAGACGTTTCATCCTGTAACATCCTGCAGAGAAGAAGAGACGACACACTTTAAAAAAACACAGTAAAGACAGTTTAAGGTTGTATAAAATAATTTAGGTATTCAAATAACCCTGAACCAGGTACAGAGAATAATAGTTACTCACCATAAATTTCAAATTGAAAAGCATGCTAGTGGGTCCCTCTGATAAACAATGAAACCTTCACCACTTAATTTCATACCTGCAAATAAGAAATACAGGTGAGTCCAATAAGCATCTGTTCTGTGTACACACAGTATACCACTGAGGCTTTATGGTCACTCCACCTATGAATGAAATATCTATTTATTTATCTGTGTATCTATCTATCTACCTCATTGGGTCTCTGTTTGGCCTGTAACCTTACAATGAAATGTCCAGTTTACTAACCTACTAACAATATCAGTGAATAATTAAAATAACTGATGATTGATTTCTCTAGGATTCATGTTTCAATTTGGACACCACGAGTCCACGTTTCAAAAATACTTAAGGACTCCAACCCGGCGTAGCCCTAAATACAGTACTACAGTGTTTCAACAGACAGGACATGCCTCACATTCCTCATGAGGACAGGAGGGGCGGGAGGGGAGAGGGCATGAAGCCAAGCCCACAGTATACCATAGTGTAAGTAAAAAATTGTACAAACAGTTTGTTACTAGTTATAAAGTCTAAACTACGTCTGTGGATCTGGTTCAGTTGGACAACGCCGACTCCTCTGTGAGTCACTAATAACACACCCACACACACACTGAACCTTCATGTCACAACCTCGCTATTATTCCAGGATGTTTCTTCACTAAAACTCAATGCTATTTTTGAGATGAAGTCGCTCAGCACAAACACGCCACAGTAAACTGTGTGCTCACCTCCACAGCAGAGTCTGCTGTAGCTGCACTCAGAGGATCTGGCATCTGCCATTGACACGAGTGTTTCCCCTCTCTGAACACAGTGGACTTTGTGTGTTCAGTTACTCAAGACCATTAGAGCTTGAAAAATTACTTCAACTACAAAACAATTTCAAATTTTCTGTCAATCAACTCATCGCTTTGATGGCTGATCGAGCTCCGATCGAGATAAAACATACAGAACCAGAGAAAACCTCATGACAATGAATGGTGAATGGACTTGCACTTATATAGCGCCTTTCTAATCTTACTGACCACTCAAAGGGCTTTACAATACTTGTTCAGTATCTTGCCCAGGGACACTTCGACATGCGGCCTGGAGGAGCCGGGGATCGAACCACCGACCTTCCAATTAGCGGACGACTCGCTCCACCTCCTGAGCCAAAATTAATATAAAATATGAACAAATATATAATTTTTTCCACATCCCTGATGTTAGTGTCACTGCTCTCGTCCACCTGCTTCCCTTCAGTGTTCTCAGTGCTACGTCAGTTAGAGCACAAACCATTAACCGATCTGTTGATGAATAGAAAATTTATACGCAAATATTTGGATTAAATGTTTATGTCATTTTAAATTATAAAAAAACAAAAAACATTTATTGGTTCCAGCTGCTCAAATGTGTTGATTTGCTGCTTTTCTCTGATTTAAATCTTTGTAAAATGAATATGTTTGGTTGGTCAGAGAAAACAAGCGACTTGAGGACGTCATCTTAGACTGTGGATAAACATTTTCGAGACAACCAATTAAGAAAACACTGAGTACATTATTTCTATAATAAAAAAAATAATAATTAGCTGCATCACCAAAGTACTCTTATCTCATGTTTTACTTCAGTGTGATGCTGCATTTTACACTATTAGTTTAGGGAGGAAACGGATGGATAAACAGAGTTCAGTATGTTTGACCATCTACTACTAATCAGCTGTAGAAAATGTTAACAGGCTGCAGATAGAAAACAGTGTCAGACCACCACAGTTTATTAAGTTATAACTGTGCTCCTGGTTCACCAACACTGCTGCAAATGCAAATGTTAATGTCATTACAACCGGGGAGCAAGAATCTCCCATTGAGTTGAAGCACAATGAGACAATGCAAGAAATAGGAAGACCACTTTAGTGACCCCCCCCCCCTACTACCTCCCCACATACACATACAATGAAAGCTGGTGCTGGTGGTGGGGGGTTTGTAGGCTGTAAAATACGCACGGATATGACGTCATACTGTTCACATACCCGTTCATAAAACAGTAGCCATTGACCAAACTGCGCCTTGTTTACATTTCTCTCCTCATATACTTCATAATCTTGAACGTGTGGCTGTTAGCTGTGATTAGCCTGAGCTACACGTAGACTGGAGGCTGTTACTGAAATAAAACCGTGAACAGCCAAGTGCCTGCCCTGCCCGAAGAGCCTCGTTGGCGCCAAACACACACACACAGAGAGAGAGAGAGAGAGAGAGAGAGGGAGGCCTGGAGTGGGCTGCACTGCAGGCTGTGGAGAAATCAAACATGGGCGCCACCATCATACAAAGATGTCACTTCCTACAGCCATTAGGGCGAATATTTGTACGGCTCAGCTGGGTTAACCGTTTAACGTGAAGAGCACGTTAAACACGTCAGTTGAACATGTATGCAGCTCAAATGCAGAAAGAGTCCAGTAGAAAAGCAGGAGGGCAGCGGGGCCCGTGGCCTGGATAAAACATCCAGGGCAAATCCTGGCACACTGAGCTCCACTGAACACACGAGCATATTGTTCACATTTCCCCCCGTCTTACCTCCAAGTCCCCGCGCTGCTGGCCGCTCCACTCCAACCACAGATCCGTCCGGATAACACTTCACACGGACACCTAGAAAACAGAGGCTCCGGCTCCAGCTATAGATTAAATTCAGTTTTTTTTTTTTTTTTGTATCCCACCTCAGTGGGAATCTCCAGGGTTGCAATCTGTCCACCACCACGGCACAACAGCTCTATTGTACCGCGCGTCCCGCCGGGTCCTAAACCCCGCCGGTTTCCCTCCATCCTGGGTGCGCTCGATTTGTTTGCGTTAACCTCCCTATTCATAAACAACGGAAACAATGACAACAAACGAGTCCTTTACAATGATAACAGACTGACATTCAATAACCAGTCAAACAGTCATTGCTGTGTTTTCTCTGTTTTTAATGTAACTGCCATTTCATAAAGACACGACTTGATTTAAGTGTAGAAACAACAAATTACAGACAGATGTGCATTCATAAAGACAAGTTGCTCTACAAAACCAGTACGCTCCGATACAAAAGGTTTATAAATACAAAAGTACATCACAAGAAATCTCTATGTTTATTTATTTTCTTAAAAGGCAACTGTACAAAACTGTTTGATCTCTCTGGCTAATTTATTAGATTAGATTTACTTCAATCTGCAATGAGGCCTCAACACAGACTGGGGGAGGTCCAGCTGTTTGCCACTGACTGGAATAATTTATAGTTTGTCAAATTGTTAATGAACTTACTGATGCCAAACCCCATGACTCACCCTGAATGTTCGTGGTGTTTTCAATTCACAAAAAAATCTCTAGTATTTAAACAATGTGCTTCTACAGCAACACCAGAGAGAATAATTCACTAATCTGATGAGTGATGTTCAAACCAGATACACCACAGTATACAGAGTCAGACAGGAGAGTTTACATTTACAGCTTGTTCAAACATTTTAAAATCGCTTGAATTGAACTTTAGGAACAAAAAGAATCGACAGGTTGATCAGGTTACAAACAGGAACCAGAATGTTTCCTTTAACCTTGTTGCCAGTTTCTCACAATATATTCTCTCTTTCTTTGTAACTGGCAACCTTAAAAAAAACTTTACTAACTCAGAAGGACAGATAATTTACTATATTGTGTTTATAACTGGTTGTTACCCTAATTGGCTCGTTTCTCAGTCCACAACCGTTACCACACAACTTTTTTTCAATCATTCAATCAGCCCGAAAACAAATTGAAGTCCAACTTAAATAAACTTTTACTAAAAATCATAATGAAGAACATGAATTTATTTCTACACAAAAATATCGAGTAAAGTATAAAACAAATATTACAAAATATATATAAAAAAAAACTGATCACATGAATTGCTTACGTCACGATCCAGCATTTTTAGAAGTGTTTCCACCTTTAGTGTAAACACAACAATTAATCTTAACTTTGGCCTAACAGATGTCAATAAGATGTTATCACCTACTCAGCGTGTTTCAAATATACACATCTTAAATGAAGAAAAGTCAATTATCTAAACCACATACACAAATCAATCCGTACAGGAAACAAAAATAGGATTTATAAATAAAGTATTTTCCCTCACGCATTCCTGTGCTCGTGTGTTTTCCACTGCATGGACGGTTTCAAACAGTGATTAAAAACAAAACTTTAAATTAAAATGAATTACATTTACAGCAAAGACCTACATTCACATTCGATAAAAGCAACAGGATTATGAAATACATTCAGAGAAATATAAATATTCACAGCACTCGTAGCAACTAATGGATGTTAAGTGGTTTACAGCACATGTTCTGGATGATGGGGGGGTGGATCTAGTCTGCAGACTCATTGATGAATTGAATTGTTTTTTCCAAGGCTTTTATCAAACACAGTCCTTAATATTTTCCATCCCTATCAATTTCTTTTTAAGAATGAAAAGAGGCAAATATTCAAACGCCACTCATATCCAAGCCGAGCTGGACGGCGGGGGGGGGAATTAGATTCAGTGTCTGGCGAGCAGTTTGTTTCGATACGTATTCATTCACAAGCCCATCTGCATGTCGGCAAAGTTGAAGAAGCTGTCCACGTCTCGAGAGGACGTGTTTTTGTTGTCAGAGACAAAAACCTGTGGGGGGAAAAAAACAACACAACATATTCTAAGCTTTTATGAATAGTTTTCTAAAGAATGTGGATCTATTTCTGTAAAACTATTAAAAAAAAACCGCCACAAACACAGTGTAATTACCATGGTGCCACTGAACATTTCACTGGCCATGTTCTTACAGGCGTCCACAACTCCGTCACCATTCAGCTCCAGGGCGATCACAGGGCCTTTAGTGGTAAGATATGAAAGTCACAATCCTACAGAGCAACAACAGCACGGCTACACTCCACACTACAGCTAAATACAGGTCTCCCTCCTCAGTGCAAAACCCTGTTATATTTACACACACACACACTACGGTTATGAAACAGTAACTGCTTACTAGTGAAACGAGGATCATGAAATTCCCCAGTATTCACTACCAAATCTGAATGCTGATTCAGATGATTTTTGCAACGTGTACCAAGTTGACACTGGAAAACTAGTAGTCAGCAGTGTTTTCACATATTGACCACAGGACATTTTTATGCTTCTGAAAAAAGGGAATTTAGTTTCTTTACAGTATTTCGGTGGAAGAAGGAATCCAAGAGAAACAGAACACAATGAGTTCTTGTTAAGATAATAGTCATTATTAATAGCAACCACAAACTGGCCCTATTTAGACATTTTAAAACACACAGTGCTTGGTTCACTCTGTTCTGCTAGAACAATGTACAACACAACTTGTTATTCTCATCGAACGCAGAGCATGAATATGTCGTCGCTCTTTGTTTAATGAAACATCTTCATCAGATGAGGTGTAACGTACCTGGCTGAGTTTCGGAGCAGCTGATATTTTGGAGCAACAGCAATAAAACAAAAAAAGATCACAAAAAAAGGAAAATTACCTTTGGTGATCCACTCCACCAGATCCTCTGCACTGTTCTGAAACACCCTCTTCACATCTTCAGGTCGCATTGAGACTTCCTTCGTCTGGATTAGCACGAAACCTTTGGCAGTCACCTGTGCACGACAGAACAAAAGTTAAATGATAAACACTTTAATGATGCAGTGAACCGTCAAGCATTTAAAAGAAACCTCCATGTCAACACACAGAGGAGATAAACTGTGAAGATGACTTCTTTACTGTCCCACACGTGGATCCAGTCTCATGCTTGTATGATGGAGTAATGCATATTTTAGAAAGAGCACAAACATAACTGGAATGTTGGTTTAGCAACACAGTCATTTCAGGATGGTAACACAGCAGGTCAGCTTAACAAAAGGAAGCTAAGAAAAAAACATATTACTCTAAGTACTTGGAGAATACTGAGGATATAACAAGAATGAAAAATATTTATATACAATTTCTAATTAATGGCATATTTCCATATTCCAGATAGTAAGCAAATGCTGTGGTCACACAGCTGGAGAGCTGAAAAAAACACATTTAACACATGCAGGTGAAACAGCCTCAGCTGAGAAGCCAGTATTTTACACTCAAGGTCACAAATAGAGCAAATAATTGGGTAGTTTGATAAGACATGTTATCTTTAACCCACTTTGTTGGCTGACTTTAACATAAGCTTCAGTGGTGATGCAACTCATTCGATTTGGCTGTTCACCAGCTTCAAGACTGTTCTGCTTGTTTGGGATTATTCCAAGAGGTTAGAGCTTGATTAGGATTCCTTCATTTATGGTTCTGTGTTAAACTTCTGTTCCTTCTATAAAATGGTGCCAGTTTTGACATTTAACACTGTGGTTTTGCTTTTATTTTTTATTCATTCTGTAACCTTCTGTGACAGCTAAAATATCACTGACTCACTCTCAAACTTGTATCAGTGTATTTCCCCCAGGCTCTTTAAACTCCAAGCCACCATTTTCAATTCACATACAAACAAAGACTTCCTCCTTTAACCAGCACTTTGTAACCAGTGGTGTTAAACAAAGCGAAACTTCTTTACACTCTCACCTCATCAATCAGTCTGCGGGCATTTGCAGTGGTGTACTCCCCAGCAAAGAAAACAAAGAGGCAGGACTCTTCACTGTCCTTACGCCTCCCTCCCTTTGTCAAAGGCACAATGCTGCGTGCAGGGTCAGCAGAGATTCGCACTGACTTGAACTCAGACTCCGGGTCTGGGGCTGGTACAAAGTCCAGAACCGCTGCAGCCTCTGGCAACAAGCTCCAGTTGTTCTCTCCGGACACTGGTGTGAAGTCGTGGATGTTGCTCCAGTTGTTGTTGAATATGCTGAGCCCAGCGTCCTTGAAGTGGAACCCCAGCTCAGGATAGAAGTACTGAAAGCAGCCAAACTTCATTCCCGTAGATGACTCGATGATAGGCTGAGTGGCACAGCACAAGAACACCTCCATCTTTTTACAGTCCCGTGTGCGAAACTGCTGACAGGCCACCACACACTTGATGTCTTTACAGTCTCTGAAAAACACACTGCCCTTGACAGGTCCTAGAACAATGCGGCAATTGACACAGTCGTCGATGGTGATAGTCGCTGAGTGGTCGAACACGAAGATGTTGCAGTTCTCACACTCTTGGATGACAAACTGTTGCCCGTTCAATTTGCCAGAAAGACGGCCCACCGTGACATCTTTGAGCCCGGTTAGCATGTAGTCTTTGGGATCAACCTATGCAAGAGAAAGGTGACCAAAATGAGAATCTAAAAATACTGTTTATTTAGAGATGCATCACATTTTTAACCATACAAGTATCTAATACATTACATCCTCTATCATCCAATAACAACAGTGATAATTTTGCAGCAGAACATATAAGCTATTCAAACATGCCTGTGTCACTTATGCAGTTTATTTTCTTTATTTTTCACTACAACTGCTTTGAGTCACACTTGATTTGATCATGTAAACTTATGGTATGTGGCCTATCAAACTATTTTCAGCCTCAATGCTGCTTCGTGTTGGGCATCTTTCGGTCTAACACGGTTGAGATGAAACATTCACTGAGTGAAAACGGAAGTTGAACCACCGTTTGGTTAACGCCTTTTAAGTGTGGTCAGCTGTAGTGAATAATGAACTACACAGCGTTGTGTAGTAATCCGATAATGAGATAACGCTGGATACACGAAGTGAGCGAGAGGGCGAGGCTTTGAACCTAAAACTCAAGAGTGTTGTCAATCTATAATTAGCACTGCATAAATATCCAGGTTAACCAAGTGTCAGACAACAAATAAAGCGGAATATTTTTGATCTATACGTGATATTTTTGCTGCCAATTGAATCTCGGAAAAGTAAACAGTGTCCGTTTACCTTGACCGCTGCAGCACTCAGGAAATCAGTTTAAAAATACTAATATCGACATTAGTTAACGTTACAGGTTGGTACAAGAGTCTCTGACACCTTTGTAGATTTTAAAATCGCTACCATGGATGTTTTTGTTATATAACACTAGCTACATTTTCAATTAGCTGTAAGTTAAACCTGTAAATGTGGTTAGCTAACTGCACTTCATGGAGAGTGTACATTAGCTACCTGGAAGCGAGTGAACACACAAGTTAAGAGGGGTTAAGCAGTGGGTAAACTAAAGTTAGCACCACTCGCTGACAGATATCGGTTTATTTTATTTTACCACTTTCTTTGTGTGTTTTTCTTTTGGCAGGTCTTTATTACCTTCTCTCTTTTATCCCAGCTGTACTGCTTGGGAGCCTCGTCAGTGTTGTTGCCAAGGGGAACCGCGTTGCTTGTCGCTGTAGTTTCGACAGTCGTTGTCGTCGGTGTACGATCCTCTTTGTCGGATGACTTCCTTTTGGATTTTTTCGAGAAGAAACACCCCATTTTGCTTTTAACAGGGGCGACCGGATAAGCGCAGTTTTCTACCTGTAACGTCGGAGAACACGAGAAATGTGAGGCAGAAGCTTACGTGCACTTGACAAGTTGACAAGATTTTTTTTTTTTTTTAGCTTCCCGTTTCCCAGCTTCGTTTCTCAACCAATCAGAGCCGCGGTGGTCAGTATAAAAGCCAATCAGAGGCCTGGATGGAGTGACGTATTCATGTAGAAGAGGTGTGCACCCATGAGGCGTTTGGGTACAAATACGAAAGATAACCCTTCAACATGTTTTTATTTTAAAACATTAAAATGCGTCTTTATGGGCACAACACAAACGTACAAGATATCGTTTTTAAGTTTAATTAAATGTGTCCATTTCGTGTGGCATTTATAGTTACATAATAGCTGCTGTTTAAAATAAAATGTTGATTCATACACAATGTTATTAATTCCCCCTACGCATTTTTTATGTGGCGAAATACAATTATACGTCGCACATCACAAAGTATTGCGCTTTCAAATTAGATTGAGCCTACTACATTCATCGTTGGATAGGAGGAAGGACCACCCAAGTCAAATCAAATAACCTAGCTAGATTTTTCCAGAACAACCTGAACGCACCGTTATGTACAAATTTGTCACACCCCTCTGGGTGTTGTCTTTATACCAAGCAGTAGCTTATACATAGTGTTCATGTAAAAATTCTCATGAAAAATAATGATATCAAGGGATTAAATAAAAATGAGTGAAAATAGTGCCAAATTCATATCATGCAATATAATGCAAATTTTCTGATCATGGTGCTGATATATGTGTTTTTTTACACATGTGCAAAATTTGAGTTGCAGTTAAAAACAACACAATCGTACACAAAAAACAACAAATAACATGAAACCAAGTCAAACCAGACATCAGATTAGCTTGCAACTTAAGCCACAAGGACACTCTAATAATAGGTAATCCCCCACCATGCTTCTGTGAAAGATGCTCTGCAGCCTGGCCTTCCTGTTCAACCCTTTTTCGTTCTGTGTAACCATATAGACAAGACAGAGTGGGTGGTGTAGGGTAAAGGCTCTGTTAAAGGAGTTCATTAGAATTAATTTAAAAAGATTCACCCTCTTCTCACATCCACAACATTTTCTTCCTCCACATATATGACTTGCAAAATGGCACCAGAGCAGCTTGTTAAATCAATGTGAAACCAGTGAGACTTCTGTTATAGCACCTGATGGTACAAGGCATATCTGGACTAACCTGTCAGGGGGCCCTGGGGCTGAGGACCACCCCTCCCCCTCACACTCTCACTATTACCACCCTGTCATACACACCCTCTGTGCATCGTCTATGTACCCTATCACTTCAAGTCCCCAACTAATGGTCAGTCATTGCAATACAACTTTAATAAAGGATATGCACTGAAATGATTAGATTGCATTAGCCGAAGCTGTAAAAACAACAATGACATATTGTGGTCTTATAAAGTGGCTGTGGCTAATGTGTTAGCACAGAGTTACCATGACATATCTGAAGGTGTTCATAATGTCTGTGGGATCATAAACTAGATTACAGATATCTCACTGTATTCTATACTGTTCTATCTGCTGTGATACTGTTCTAAAATAAAAATAAAAAAATATATATACATAGCTGCTAAATGCTCCTCTATAGTCAACTTTTGTCTGCTGTTCTGTGGTAGGGTAAAGTGTATTTACCAAAGCTTTTTCATTAGCTGCCTGTGACTGGGAAAGAGGTTGATGAGCAGTGAGAGTGAACTGCAGCCTGAAACCAAAACAATGAACTGAAGGAAGCTCAATCATCTGAATGAAACTGCAGTCAGGTATTAATTCCCTGTGGGTCTGTCACTACAAAATATCTTAAAACATAACCCTTTGGTGCATTATAAGTATATATATCTACAGTACTGTGCAAAAGTTTTAGGCAGGTGTGAAAAAATGCTGTAAACTAAGAATGCTTTCAAAAATGGAAGTTTTAGTAGTTTATTTTCATCAATTAACAAAATGCAGTGAATGAACAGAAGAGAAATCTAAATCAAATAAATATTTGGTGTGACCGCCCTTTGCCTTCAAAACAGCATCGATTCTTCTAGGTACACTTGCACACGGTTTTTGAAGGAACTCGGCTGGTAGGTTGTTCCAAACATCTTGGAGAACTAACCACAGATCTTCTGTGGATGTAGGCTTCCTCACATCCCTCTGTCTCTTCATGTAATCCCAGACAGACTCCATGATGTTGAGATCAGGGCTCTGTGGGGGCCGTAACATCACTTCCAGGACTACTTCTTCTTCTTCACGCTGAAGATAGTTCTTAATGACATTGGCTGTATGTTTGGGGTCGTTGTCCTGCTGCAGAATAAATTTGGGGCCAATCATACGCCTGCCTGATGGTATTGCATGATGCATAAGTATCTGCCTGTATTTCTCAGCATTGAGGACACCGTTAACCCTGACCAAATCTCCAACTCCATTTGCAGAAATGCAGCCCCAAACTTGCAAGGAACCTCCACCATGCTTCACTGTTGCCTTCAGACACTCATTATTGTACCGCTCTCAAACAAACTGCCTTCTGCTACAGCCAAATATTTCAAATTTTTGACTCATCAGTCCAGAGCACCTGCTGTCATTTTTCCGCACCCCAGTGCTTATGTTTTCATGCATAGTTGAGTCACTTGGCCTCGTTTCCATGTCGGCGGTATGGCCTTTTGGCTGCAACTCTTCCATGAAGACCACTTCTGGCCAGACTTCTCCGGACAGTAGATGGGTGTACCTGGGTCCCGCTGGTTTCTGCCAGTTCCGATCTGATGGCACTGCTGGACATCTTTCAAAGGGAAATAAGCTTAATGTGTTTTTCATCTGCTGCACCAAGTTTCCTCGGCCAACCACCACCAATGTAATATATATAATATAAATAATATATAAAATATAATTTATATGATAAAAGTAGTTATTAGTGCAGCTTTAAGGTTTTAGGTGGCATAGAAATGGCCTCCCCTTTCTCAAGCCCCCCCTCTTACTGTGCCCCTCTGGTATAAACCCACCTCTCACCCCACTACTCTCACTCCCAAGGCCGCATGATCCACAGCGGATATCTCCTCCTCCTTTTCTCTCTAAAGCCTGAGTTTTAACGTCCAAGCACAGACCACGTGAATTTCCTGTTTTGACGAGGGGGTAAGCACTGAATTGCACAATCATCAAAATCCCAGGACAATGACTCAGTAGCTTGAAATCGGTCGACTTCGGTTGCTGCCTGGGCGACAGCGTGATTTGGTCTCCTCCACAGGGCAGCGCAGTCTCACTGTGCAGCGGCTCCTCGCCTCTCGACAGGCGCAGTGTACCTTTAAAAGGTTGAACTCGCCGGTCTACGGTCTGAAAGCACCGGATTGCTTCCCTGCTCGGCTCAGCTGTGTATACCTTCCAGCAGTGACATGGCATAGAGTCTCTGTGCTGACAGCAGCAGCAGCAGCAGCAGCAGCAGCAGCAGCATCCCGCACCCTGCGCCATGGACGCTCTCAGACAGCCGAGGCGGAGAGGAGCCTGCGCGGCGCTGGACACGATGATGTCCGTGTGGATTTTACTGAGCGCGGTGTCAGGGCTGAAGGCGGAGGACGACGGAATGGAAGAACTTGCCACCGAGAAGGAGGCTGAGGAAAGTCACCGACAGGACAGCGTTAATTTGCTGACATTCATTTTACTGCTGACCTTAACCATCCTCACCATCTGGCTCTTCAAGCACAGACGGGTCCGTTTCCTTCACGAAACCGGGCTGGCAATGATTTACGGTGAGGCTTTTAGAGGTTATATGATGAAGGCACAAACACACGCACACACACACACGCACGCACACACACACCGTCTCCTTCACAACTACCACCACCACCACCTTCCCGCAGGCTTAGCATGATTCAGTCTCTCTGGTGGTTGTGCCGCGGCTGCACAGGGGCGATGAGCAGAAAAACCCGGAGACAGTGAGATGATTTCAGTCTGAACAAATGCACCGAGGCGCCTCCGCATTTCCACCAGCTCACATTGCTCCTAATTGGCTGGGCCGGTGCTAATTTCTAGAAGGTGCTTTGGGCTGTTCAACCTTGCCTACTCTCCACCAGGCTGCTGCATGTGCAGCTTTATCTCTGACTGACTGGGAGTCAGCGCCCTGACATATGGGAAGGCACTTATGCAGTGTCTGTGGTATCAATTAGATTACAATGATCTTAATGTATTTTATATTGTTTTATCTCCTATGACACCACTGTAATATGAAATATATATATATATATAATGGTGGTTATAGGCTACTTGTAGAAGACCCTCCAGGAATACCTTGTGCAGTAAAACATTTTAAATTTGATAAATCTGTCAATCTTTCAAAGTTCATAACAGAGTAATGGGGAAAAGAGTGGGTAGGAAACAGGGAACAATACATGTAATGCATGTGTTGTGTGTTCTCATCCTCCATATTAAATAGCAGTGCAGAGTGCAGTCAGTACAAGACTATCTCACCAATATAATCATCATTCATCTTTAAAAAAAAAAAAGGGGAGATTATACCTTTGGTCTTTGCTTGTTACAGGCTATAAAATGAAAGCTCAGTAGTCTGGAGGCTTGTCCTCAGCTGGGGTCTGGATGTATTTCTGTGCCAGTGAGTTCATTATATTAATTTCTACAGGGACAAGCATGGGATGTTCAGTGAACAGATTTATGCAGCATGTAAAGTCTACTGTAAACTGGAGCGCTTCACTGTGAAATCAACAGAGATCGGTCCCGTTTCCCTGCAGATAAATTTGCAGAGAAAACTCTTAAATCAACAAACCAAAGTCTGTGTTTATCATCTGAATTCACGATCAAACGACACGATCAGGCAGAAGCCACTGTCACAGCGTGTGCCAGGCCACGCTGAGCTAAACCACTTCAGAACTAATGCCTCAGAACAACATGCAGAATCACATCCGTACAGTGTTTTCCTTCACAGTTTATCAGAGCGATCCCAGCCAGTCACTTATTAACCAAAGATCTCACATGAAAAACACAGACTTTGATTTGTTTTGTTTTTTTATTAAGCTGGGGGTTTTTTTCTCTTTATTTCACTTCCATTTTTCAGCGTCACAAATATGGACCATGAGCTCAAGCGGGGAGTCACGACCTGGCAGGAGGTCAAAAACAAGAAACTGTATGTGCACATAGAGAACGTGTTTCACACATATCTGTAGGACAGGTTGGATTATTAAGGTCTCCGTCTTATAACTTTAAGGATATTATTGTGTTGGGTTCAGTTTGATGTCATGAAGTTTAAACCTGCTCTGTGTTAGATCAGACTGTTTGTATTTGTTGGGCTGTCACCAATATCAAAGTGCTGCGCAGTGGAAGCCTTGTCATGATACTGATTATCTGCGTAAAGAGAAAACCTTATTTTTGTCAAATCAGTGATGTACAATCACACTGATACAAGTCTGTGGTATCATTTTCAAAAATCTTTTCCATGTCTTATCAGATACTAATTTTCCTGTTATGGTACTTTCCTGGTCCAAAAGTATAAAAGTCCCCACTATGGCTGGAAAGAACCTTAAATTTGTGACCACTGTAATTATTTGAGGATGTTGTTGCCTGTTGCAAAACTGTCACTATCTGGTGCCTGTCTATATATGTGTGTGTGTGTGTGTGTGTGTGTGTGTGTGTGTGTGTGTGTGTGTGTGTGTGTGTGTGTGTGTGTGTGGTTAAGGCCAGAGGCAGAGTGTGATGTCTGTGGTTACCCCTCTGGCAGGAGGAATCAGTGAGTGTAGTGTCGGCAGCTTTGCTTCGCCACGTCTCCTGCAGATAACTGCTGTCTGATCAGAGGATTTATGTTCTCTAACTGCCCGGCCTCATTCATTTCTTCCTGGGTTTTGCTCTCCCCACAAGCTTCTGCTCACCGGCTCCCCATTTTTCTTTCTTTGCCCCGCTGCTCTCTGTGTGTCACCTGCCTGATCCTGAGGGCTTGTAGAGCGGCGGCACCTGGAAAATGATCTTGTGCTGAGTAATTCACGTGTTCAGCTCGGTGACATTTAGGTTAGGGTAATTGTAGATCCTCCGCATTAGCTGGTTAATTAAAAAAAAAGGTTATACCCATGAAAGAGTGGCTATATTTTTTATCATACTCTCATCATCTCTCTTCTTCTGTTGTTCTCAGGTTTGCTGGTGGGTGTGATCCTGCGATACGGCATCCCTGCCACCAGCTACCACAACAAGACCCCCCCGAGCTGCTCGCTGAAGGAAGGACCTGCTAGCACCCTGCTGCTTAATGTCAGCGGCAAGTTCTTTGAGTACACCCTCAAAGGGGAGATCAACTCCCGAGAGATTCACAACGTGGAGCAGAATGATATGCTGCGCAAGGTAACGGAGAAAAACATCAGTAGTTTAACTCCGCCTGTTTCAAATTCACCCTAATAATGCTTTCTCTTTATTGTCCCTCCCAGGTGACCTTTGACCCTGAAGTATTTTTCAACATATTGCTGCCTCCTATCATCTTCCACGCCGGCTACAGTCTGAAGAAGGTGAGATGTGGCGCGTGAAGCTCAGGATGTGTGATTACATGGAAGCTGATTTTTTAAACGATTGCACCGTAACATGAGCATGTGAGATAATGTTGTTGCATGGCCCAAGTGAACGTTATCTGCTGCCACAAACTGCTGTCTCATTGGACAATATGCTCGGCTAAGAAAAGCACCCATTGGCCCCGGCTGTGAGAGCTGACGGTGTGCGCTGAACATAAGTGGCCCTTTGGAGGGGAAGTCCAGAGCAGATGTCTTTCATTTCCTTTTCTGGAGTTTGTGCGAGTGAAGAACAAACGGCTGACGCTGACAATGCTTCCAGTTTCTGCTCCCGATTGTTGTACTGCAGCAGATTTGTTGTATTTTAGGGAGATCCTCTGCTGCTTTTCATTATTAATCCATAACCACACAGTGTGAGAGATTCAAGTAGAGCAGGTGGCACTTTTTATGCATGACAATTATGGGTAGGCCATTCCCTGTTTAGGTGCTTTAGTGTGCCGACCTTGAAATAATGGAGAGGCATATGTGTTTAAACAGGTGGTGACATCTGATCCATGTTCTCATTGTGAGTGTTACTCAGACTCCAGTCGGACAGTGATGGATGATGTATCGAGGAGAAGTCAGATGAATGAGAGGAAATGGCCTTGTGGAGCCACTTCAGGATAAGCCATGGTGGGTTATCCTGAAGTGGCGACTCGACTGAAAAAAATTAGCAGCTATTTGACGTGTTGCTATGAGAATTTGTAGAAAACATTCACACTCCTCATGGAAGATAAACCCTACTGTCTTTAATGATCCTTTGCTTTCCACCACCAAGTCAAAGCTTCATTTCTTTTCTTTTTTTTACACGACATTCCACATCAGCCTTGTGTTTCCCGCTAATTAGCAATGGTTAGCTAGCATGCTAACTTCACACAGACGGTGAACATGGTCGACATTATACCCGCTAAACATCGCTGCGTGTTAGCATGCCGACGTTAGCATTTAGCTTGAAGGAGTAGAACCTCACAGAGCTGCTAAGCTGTGCCCCAAACTACATATGAGTACACACTACACACTGTCACTGTCTTATGGGTTTGTGTACAAACATCTTATAACCACGAACATTTTATTACAGCAGACAGTGATGCAATACGTGCCACCATCAAGCTGAGTCTCGTTAGATGCAAGTTCGATTTCACAAGAAAGCAAAATGGCTTTTTTTTTTTTTTTCAATCAACCAACACCCACAATTTATTTTTATTTTTTCATAGCCGTGTGAAGATCCTCCATTTCCTTCCTGTATGTGCTCTGAGGAAGAGCTGAATGAACTGTAGTCAGTATGAAAACTGACGGGTTATACTCAGTTGGATCAATATAAACTACAGTATGTACTAAAAACCTGCTGAGAAATAGGATGTAACGTGGATTTGGGATAAAGATTTAGTCTTGTTAATATAAATTATTAGTTTCATTATAGATTTATACTTTTAATTTAATTTTAATTTTAATTTAACAAATTTTATATTAGTCCATAACATAATATAGTTTAGTTTGTCCAACCAACAGTCCCGAATCCAAAAGTGTTCAATTTACAATGATATAAGCAAATCCTAATATTTTAGATGGAACCAGTACGTGTTTGGTATTTTTGCTTGATATAATTGGTCCATTATCAAAACTGTTGCTTAATCTTCTGTCAGTAAATGAATTAACCAATCCACTACTGATCAGTTATATCAATATTAATGTCACTGTTAGATTGATTCTGTTCCAATGGTTAGCACAGATTTTCTAAAAGTAAAAGACACCCTAACTGGGTTGTTTAAAAACTCTTTATGGTTTTTTAGCTCTTGTCTTGACAGGTTTTTTATTTATGTTCTTGTGAAGTTGGGATTCACAGTGGAATTTGCTGAACAAGCCTCAGGAAATAGGAAGCTGGAGGTCATGTCAGCCTTAAAATTACACCACTTTTTGAATCATCTGTTGCAACTAGAGTTCATTTTGATGAAAACATTTTCACAGCTGTAGAAAGAAACACAGACAGATGCCGTTCAGTTAATCTTGTGCTTTAGATCATTGCAACAAAACACACAGAAGAGTAACGGATATGCAAATGTCAGTATAATTAGCTGTGTGTCGTTTAACTGAGCTGCCACAGACGATCTGTCGTGTGTTTCTTCACCAGAATCATTACAGTATTTTTCTTCCATTCTTTTATGTTTTCTTCAACAAAAATCACTCCTGACAGTCACTGAGGAAAAGGCACATTTTACTACAGAAATCCGAATCAGCATTTTAGTTTGAGACTGCAGAGGGAGTCGGCGGTGATCTGGAAGACGCCTCTGTGTTGTGCTGCTTGTTTGTTTTATAACCAGTCAAACAGCTGAATTTGTGTTTGTGTTTCTGGTCCTGTTTGACAGAGAGTTACTCGCCCACCCGTGGCTGTTACTGACCTCCGGCCTGTTTCAGACATTTGCTTTGTAAAAGTAAACTAAAATGTGGTCAGTTTGAGAATGTGTGTAGTTTCTGACAATGACACAGCTATGCTAACTTTGTACAATTTTTCCTCTTCCAGAGACACTTCTTCAGGAACCTGGGCTCCATCATAACATATGCCTTCCTGGGCACTGCTATCTCATGTTTCGTTATTGGGTAAGTGTCCACTTCCTGTTTATGAAATGTCAGTTTAAAATCTGATCAATCACAACCCCGCTCAGGGTTGGATAAAGGTTACATCATGTTTTGCAGATAACTGAAAAGGAAATACATCTAAAGACAAACAAAGCAAAACACAACAAAAACAAACAGGTTGGAAGCCAGGCGGAAAGAGAGAGAGAGTGAGGAAATAAGATATACAGGTCATGTCAAGTTCTTAGTTCTCTTCTACAGATGAAACATAGAAACATCCACAAAATCAACACAAATTAAAACAAAAAGCAAAAAGTGATTTAATAAGAGGTGTATTTACATGCAGATATTCAACGACTATTATGCACAAAAGAACCAAAAATAACACACATTCATATATTATTGATTGGCAGAAATGTATTTTAATCATAAATCCTTATTAGTTGTGCTTTGGAAAATGATGACTCATAATTCTGGGTAACACACCGACACTCCAGCACAAACTTTCAGCGAGACACAAAACTGATCTTAACAATTTATGGTCACAATGACACATTTTTCACAATTTACAGTCCTGAATTCAATATCAAACCCCCTCTGTTCTGCTCTCCAGGAATCTGATGTACGGTGTGGTCAAACTGATGCAAGTGGTCGGACAGCTGACTGACAAGTTCTACTACACTGACTGCCTTTTCTTTGGTGCCATCATCTCTGCCACAGACCCAGGTGAGGTGATCGCTCTCAGTCACTTTAGAGAATTAGAGAATGAAACGGAAGATGTCTGTGTATATGAAATTTGCCTTTTTAAATCTGTATTTCTGCGTGTAGTGACGGTGTTGGCCATCTTCAATGAGCTCCATGCAGACGGGGATCTCTACGCTCTGCTGTTTGGAGAAAGCGTTATGAATGACGCAGTTGCCATTGTGCTTTCCTCGTAAGTCACATTTTTTTTGCCTCATCAAATCTCATCACCTTCCCGCCTGCTACACCAGAGAGAGAGAGAGAGAGAGAGAGAGAGACACAGCTCTCTGCCTCCCTCTACTGGAGGTTTCCAACCTTCTCCCACTGCAGATTTCTTTATCACAGGGATTTTATTCCATTTTGGTAGATATTAAAATAAATGAACAGAGATTATTTTTTAAAATTAGATGTGTCCATAAATATAAGGAGGCAGAGTGCTAATTATACAATGATAATCAGGGGGGGTCAACTTTTTCTCTAGGCCGAAAGGGAACCCACTACAGTGCAGGTCTCAGTGAACTATTTCCCCCTGAAATGTAGGAGTGGAAGTGTAAAGTAGCATGAAATTGAAATACTCCAGTAAAGTACAAGTGCCTCAAAATTATACTTAACTACAGTACTGACAGTAAATGTACTTCATTGCTCTCCACCACTGCTCATACAATTATTTAGCCTTCGGCACACATTTTTAATATTGTTCAAGACCTTCATAAATGGTTTGTTGCAAGTCAGATGGTTTGGATCCATGCATCCTGTTCCTACGCAACTGCCTCACAAAATAGATGTGCAAAGTTTTCCCCTTGGAATAATATTGTTGAATTACCCAACCAGGTAAAACTATTGAATTCCTGCGTGAAAATAGAAGGGGTGCCTATAAAAAATAAAAAAAAACTAATATGAAAAAGCTAAAAGACTAACTAAACCACCACAGACACAGAAATTATTAACTACAATTAACTATTAAAATAAAATAATAAACTATCAATTGACTACTCCTGCATTGTTTCACTGCTCATGACTGATCTATTTGCTAACATTAGATCATATACGACATTTTATATTGGTAACGAAATGACAAGCTAACGCTAGTAACGAAAGGGCGTGCCTCCAGCTAGCTAACATTAGTTAAATGACATTTCCTGACCTGCACAGTTTGTCTACACGGTACCTCAGGTGTTCGCTGAAGTATCGAGGCTTCTCCCTTTCATCCTCTTCTGACGCCCGAACATCATTTAATTCAAACGTAATTTCTGGAACTATATTCATCTTTGCTGTGCAACGGCCGACGATAACGACCGCTAATATAGCGCTAATTAACGGTTACACCTGTAAATCGGAGTAATAGATGTAGTTAAAAGTCCCAGTGCTGTTATACTCTATATCAGCAAATAACATGTCTTGGTCGGAACTAACTTGTATCATTTACATTGGTAACGAAATGACAAGCTAACACTAGAAATGAAAGGGCGTGCTATCAGCTAGCAAAAATTTGTTAGCTAAACTAACTTAATGTAAAGGTTAGAAACTAGCTTACATTAGTTAGCTAAACTGTAACTTAATGTAAAGCTTAGAAACTAGCTTACATTAGTTAGCTAAACTGTAATTTAAGGCTAAAGTTAGAAACTAGCTTACATTAGTTAGCTAAACAGTAACTTAGGGTAAAGGTTAGAAACTAGTTCAAATTAGTTAGCTAAACTGTAACTTAATGTAAAGCTTAGAAACTAGTTTACATTAGTTAGCTAAACTGTAATGTAAGGCTAAAGTTAGAAACTAGCTAACATTAGCCTTCATCTGTAAATACTAACTAATTCATCTACTTCAGAAACTCTGACGATAAGAAAGTAAACGACAGGTAAGAAGGATATATAAGGTCAGACCCTCCACAATCCCACCCCATAATTCGAACCCTTCAGGAGACAAATCAATTCAAAACATCATTTGAATATTGGTACATTTATGATATTTATTAACATATAACTATTAATAACTGCCACAACATGTTTTCTGTGTTTCAGGTCTATTGTGGCTTACCAGCCCAGTGGAGCAAACACGCACATGTTCGATGCTTCAGCCTTTTTCAAGTCAGTGGGGGTTTTTCTGGGTATTTTCAGTGGTTCCTTTGTAATGGGCGCAGCCACAGGAGTCGTCACTGCTCTCATATCCTTCTTTGATGCATGCTTTGAAATGAAATTAGAAAATATATAAAGTCTAATTTCCCAAATGGATTTGTTTCTTGGAGCAGCGCCTGTGTTATAGTGTTTTTCTTTAACTTCACCTCCACGTCACCAAGTTCACCAAGCTGCACTGCTTCCCGCTGCTGGAGACGGCCCTCTTCTTCCTCATGTCCTGGAGCACCTTTCTGCTGGCCGAGGCCTGCGGGTTCACAGGTAATCGCATCGGGGCACGGCTGTGAGGGAAGTGGTTGCAGTTTGGGAAGTAAGCACCAGACGTTTTTGTGCAGGGCGCTAGAAAAAAAAAATCCAGAACAACGAAACCAGTGTTAGCTGTCTTACCATATAGAAAAAAATGCCAAGTTATAACAGATTTAGAAGATCGAAAGCTGTGACCTTTAGCGTCTTCTAGTTCTTTGTCAATGTGTGGACCTTGTTTTTCAACATGATGGAACATTAAAAAGGAAATGGATTATCAAAAGACCCTTTAGTCATTACATGTTAAAACAAAAAGTACAGTTTTTTCCAGATAGCTAAAAAGTCAGTCAGTCAGTGATTGTGCTGAATGACATAATTATGGGCAGTTTAAACTAAGTGACGGTAAACCGTTCACAGAGAACTGAGTCTGTTTATACAAATGAAATGTGACAGGGACTTAAATACAGATTATGTAGCAGATGTGCAGAAATGAAATTAAAAGATAATATATGACATAGTGGCAAAGCATTGAGCGGACTGGAAATTATCACTGGAGTGGGTGAATTGTGCCACTGCGTATCATAATTATCCCGACTACCCGTGCAATGTAATCTGTCTGATGGAGTCATTGTATTAACCCCTCGTCAATATATATGTGTGTGTTGTTCTGCAGGCGTGGTGGCCGTGCTGTTCTGTGGTATCACGCAGGCTCACTACACCTACAACAACCTCTCTGAAGAGTCCACAAAGCGCACCAAGCAGGTAGCATCTGACCGCTCCCTGCACATGTAGACACCCCCCCCCCCCCCCCCCCCCATTTATATTTGGCGGTTGTGAACCCCCTGATAGTATGAAGCGGGTGCTCGGCCCCAGTGCCAGATGGCTCCATGATCAGCTTGCTGTGACCTTAATCGGGGCTGTCTGAGGACATCCCTCCTGACACGACTGTTTAGTTTCCCAGAGGGGGTTCAGTCTTGAGGACAGGGTACAGATTAGCATGTAGGCAACGCGCAGTGTGACAGTTGAATCAGTGCTCAGAGTATCCTGGTTTTTCACTGTCAAAGAAAGCTATGCATGCACAGTTCACTGCGAGGTTAAAGTACTCCACTTAGATTAAGACAAAAAAAAAAAAAAAGAAGAAGAAAAAAAGGTCGTTTCAATTCTTTTTCTCCTTCTTAATGGTCTGGTTTGCGTGGTCATTTGTCTCCATATGAGTGTGCTTGACCTTGTGTCTTGTGCCTCCCGCTCGGAGCCACAGAGATGCAGTGAGCTCTGTAATCATCATGGCAGCCAGAGAGTCTGCCGCTCTGTCAGCCTGGGAGAGAAAAGAGAAAACAACTCCCAAGGCTTTTCTGGATTCTGAGGGAATAGATGAGGCGCTTAGCTCAGAGAACCAGGCCTTTTTTTTTTTTTTAAGCAGTGCAGTGTGAGAACATTTCTGTGAAATTCCCTTTGTAAGCCCAAAACTTTAGAGGCATCTTCTTGTGTTTTTTTTTAAATTTTTATTCTTGCTGTGTATTCGTACATGTCTAAATTGAAACCTGATGAGTATTAAATGTTCCTTGCAGCTCTTTGAGGTCCTTCACTTCCTCGCTGAGAATTTCATCTTCTCCTACATGGGCTTGGCTCTGTTCACCTTCCAGAATCACATTTTCAGCCCCATTTTCATCATTGGAGCTTTTGTATCCTTTTGCTGTACAACGATCAGACATTTCTGCTTCCAGTTCAGACTATCGGGTATCATCCACAGCTGCAGCAGCAGGCCATAGTTGATTGGAGAGTTATGTGATGTCCCTGTAGACAGGCCATACTTGATCCCAGATGGATGTAGCTCTTAAGTCAAAGTCGAGGTCCTCTGTGGTGAATTTTTGGGCTGTTTCCCTCCCAAAAACAACATCACGTCATTGTAGGAATAGATTTTTCATCTATTACATGGGTCAGGACATCCTGTTCCCTGAGTCTTGCGAGCATTAAATTGTTCAGTGAAAAATTTCTTGACCTGCCTGTCAGATTGCCATATTCATCGGAAGAGCTTTCAACATTTACCCACTCTCCTTCCTCCTCAACCTCGGTCGAAGGCACAAGATCAAGGGAAACTTCCAGCACATGATGATGTTTGCAGGTACGAAAAAAGCCCCATCGACTTTTGTTTCTTTCTCTGTAAATGTTATCAGATAATTATTGTTATTATTTTTTTTTTGGACGTGACCCTCTGCAGGTTTACGAGGCGCCATGGCGTTCGCCTTGGCCATCCGGGATACGGCCACCTACGCCCGGCAGATGATGTTCACCACCACGTTGCTCATCGTCTTCTTCACTGTCTGGGTGTTTGGTGGTGGGACCACGCCGATGCTCTCCTGGCTACACATCAGGTAACGTCACATTTTTGTGCATTTGGATAAAAGTCTTGACAACTAAAACTTTTATGAAAGAAGAGATCCAAAAATCTTCCAACACATACCCACAGTTTTTCCTCCCTAGAGTTATTCCTCAGGTGTTATTTCTGTTATTCAGAGTTATTTCTCAGGTGGTAAAAATTGTGATAATTGACGAAGAAATAACTTAAATCTTAGTTTTTTGTTTTTTGCATTTCTTTGCAAAATAAACCATAATAAGTATTTTTCTTTTCATCAAGTGAGATCAAATGTATGAGTAAATTAAAACAGCTAACATTACAGAGGTGGAGGCTAACTGGTGCTAACCTCAGCTAGCATTAGTTGAAGCTCAAATTGAATTGAATTATTATTGGATATTATTATATTTTATTGATTACTTCCATACACCATAATGAGCCGGTATCTAAATCCAACCATAAGGGACAGGAAAAGAAAAACAGCTAAACTCCTGCTAAAGCTAATGCTAACTAGCTTAGTGTGAGTGGAATAGCAGTAATCAGCATCTCAGCTTTTGATGGAATCTGTACTTTTTATTTTGGTTAAACTATTTTTAAATCACACATTTCAATGTGTTAAACTGTAAATAAATGTATTATATTGACTTCAGTGTAGATATTGATAGTAGAAGGACCGACAGACACCTAGCAAAACAGACATAAATAATAAAAAATCAAAATAAGGTTTATCTTCTTTCATAAAAAAATAATTTCTGGGATTAACTGATCTGCATAAAAAGCTTTTCTCTCACTGAGTTTGCCATCTGCTCTGAAAATGTTAAAAAACTTTTTTTTCTCAGTATTACTGCTTTTGTAATTACTGCTCTCTGTGCTCTCTGCGTTTTGCTCTGTGTTTTCTACCAGCTTTTTACTAAGCTTTACTATTTTCTCCTTCAACACGTAATTCCTCAGCAGTTGACGTTATTTAATTCATCCTATATGTGGCGGGACTGTCCAGGAGATGGGGCTAGAGTTCTCCACTGCTGCTGACGTTCCATCTCCCAGGTCTTTAAATCAGAGCTTTTCATTAACTGGGATTTAAGCTGCATCTTTGACGAAATCCCTGCATTTTCTAAGATAGGAAGTAGAATAGTTTCTCTAAGATTTTAACACTTGAACTGTTAAAATCAGCCGTGATACTGAATCCAGTAATATCAGCTGTTTATCACCAGGCTGCGACGGTGTAGGCGGTTCCCACTTGAGATGTTACCGGCGACAGGACCGGTGATGCTTCAGAGCTTTTGCTTGTGTCGCTATCTGTCTGTTTGGAGCCCAGCCTCACTTATTTTTGTCTGACCATGATGCACTGGGAGCTCCTATTTGTCACGATAAAGCGGATTATGGGTTGGCGATGTGTGTGTGTGTGAGTGTGTGTGTGTGAGAGTGCGTGTGACAGAGTGAACAGGCTCTGTTTAATATGGGTAATGCCTCCTCGGACCGAGCAGGAAACTATTGTGTTCGGTGGAGGTTTAGAGCGCTGCCAAAATCTCCCCATGAACTCATCGCCATGGTTACCGAGACATGTGGTACACGGCAGCCGGATATCAGTTGCGCTCCTCTGTGATCCTGGTATTGTCCCCTGTATACGTGCATGTATTTACACATTTCTACTCTTCATCGGAAACACTTTCAAATCCCTGAGGAGTAGTAGGACATCATATTGCAGAGGAGAAGTTTTATTCTATTCTGTTATTGAATAATATTCAGCATATACATTTTATCTGAACACTGAGGATTGAATTTTCTAGATGTCGTTTACAATTTTTGAGACACAATCCACAGCAGCCCCTGGTGAGGCAGCGGCGTGATGAACGCTGGGATAGCAGACGTCTGGTGTGACAGGAGACGCTGCTGCTTCCTGTTATTGGGTTTTGATGGATGGTCTGTATCAGGCTGGCATGCAGCTCGTCACCGATCCACAGACACTGAGGGAGAGAGACATCCTGTGTGCTCACGTCTGGTCAGGGAAGAGCTCCTAATCTCTCAACTTCAATGTGGAAAATTTCTCATAATATTATAAACACAGAGGAAATATTGCTTTATAAGTTTAGGTTAGATTGTGATAGAGCTTTGTCATATTGACTAGTAGAAGAAACTTCTCTCAAGTTCTCTAGCACAGTGGTTTCCACATGTTTCACATCAAGGACCCTAAACTGACACAAATCAGACCACAGAACCCATCTGATAAGATCTTTGCTTTTATATGTTTTATTACAGAGAGTGTTTAAACCCATGACTAAAATAAATTCTAAAATTATATTGAAAATAAATAATTCCTCTTTTTGCTGGGAACCCCCAAGAACCTTTTTGGTTTGAGAACCACTGCTCTAGCAAACTTACATTTTTCTACAATGCTTATAGATGTTATTATATGTGAAATGGTTGAAATACTGAAAGAAGCTGAAGTGGCATCAGTTGGTGTGAAAGTTAAAATAGAAAGAAATTGAAAGAAGTTCGAAAGTGCTGAAACAAGTAGGAGTACTTCCTGAAGGAGGGGGCTGAGCTCAGCTATGTGGCCCGAACCTTTCTGTTGCTGAAGCTATGAATGCAGCTGGTGTGGGTGTAACATTAGCTATGGTTGTCTTTGCGCTTGCAGTATTTGCATTGGCCAAGACGGTGCGCTGGAAATAGATGCTTTCTGCAGTATTTGAATCTGGTACTTGTGTCAGATACAGACGGATGTGTCACGAGTGCAGCGGTGCAGGAATCTCTTCATAACAATGCTCAGCCACGCAAGTCAATTCACATTAGCATGTAACCTATAGGTAAATTATTACACACTAAAAACACAGCCTTGCTAATCACATATACTATAGCAAAATCACAACAACAGCAATGCCCATAGCCTCTGCTTGTTATCGTACTTTTGTAATGGACTTTAGTCACTGACTAACTTACCATTAATACCAATTAATCTACGGGGACTAATGCTAGCTAACATTAACCAATGTTGCCGTAGTAACACCGCCACATTAGCAGGGTTTTAATTACAGATAAAAGATAAAATACATTTATCATTCAGCTGACATGACTGTTGGTGTCGAATTAAGTTGTTTTTCAGGGGCTGACCTGCACCTGCCCCCACAGGCAGATCCACCCACTCCCCCTGGGCCCTGCTGAAAACACTCTGTAGGATCAGTCACAATACAATGAGTGAGAGAAGTTTGAAAAGCCGTTTTAAATGGATGTGCTGGAAGTTGTTGAAATACTGACAGAAGTTGAAGTGGCAGTGAAAATACAGGTGCCAGAAGAAGTGGTAATTGCAGGTAGAATGGAAGCGCTGAAAGGAGGTGAAACGCGTCGGCGAATGTCGTCGCTATGATCATTTCTGAATGGCGTCATGATTTCTCTCGACTACTTTGAATACTATCATTTATAGAGAAGTTTAGTCGTGTGCGTTTATGAGGCTGGTGACCTTTTGTTTTAATGAGAGGAATCCAGAAGTGTCAAAGGAGCTCTGTGTTCAAGGCCGGAATTTAGAAAGTGTGTGTGTGTGTGTGTGTGTGTGTGTGTGTGTGTGTGTGTGTGTGTGTGTGTGTGTGTGTGTCTTAGGGCAGACAGCCTATTTGAGATGTATAAATACTTGGTAACACAGATGCACCAGTGATGATTGAATGCTACTGACGTGACCTTTAATTTTATTCACCGACTGCTTTATATAGAAAATCCCACCTCATCGAACAAGACATGAAGTTTGTTTTGAACTCTTATTGACATGAAGAGTTCTTATTTTATCCATTTTTTTTTTATGTTTGGCTGAACATCTGCTGATCCTCCGTCCAAGTCCAGGGATTAGTGCATGTTCCCAAAACAGAGGCTCATACTTGACCAAGACTGTTGCCAATTACTGTTTTTAAAACGTTGAGTGGTCACTGTTAAACTCTCATTTATGTTCAGTCCTCCATTCAACTAACACTGACTGCAACACACCTTTTTAATCCTCAAATGATTGATGATGTGCTTTTATCTAACGTGTAATTTTTAACACACAATCAAATTTGATGTTTGATTTTGACCGTCACAATAAAGGCACAAAATGTCGAAAAAAAATAACTTTGAATAAGTAAATAAAAGTTCAGGCATTTGTGTTGCACCGGGAGAGTTCCACATACTCTTATACATGAACAAGTACTAATACTCTAACTTTAATGTGCTTGATACTGAGTGTATGTGTTTGTCATGTGACAGCGTTGGGGACAGCGAAGCATTGCAGGAACAGCGATGCCAACGTGGAAAGTGGGAGTACTTCAGGTGCTGTATCTGAACGTGTTCAAACTCTGTGACTGTGAATGGTGTTGGGAAAGCGTGCGGTTGCTTCAGATGGGAATCTTCCTTTTCACTGTTTACTTCTGTTTTTCTGGTGAAGGGGAACATAATGACGTTCTGTGGAAAAAGACAGAAACTCTCAAATACACCATTAATTATATATTTTTCAGTGACTTTGGTTGATTGTTGTGAAGTAAAAGCACCTTGACGGAGTGTGTCACAGCTGTGGTGGAGGTGCTGCTCCTCGAGGAGTTACTGTAGCATGATGAAGTTCTTTATTCAAGGCTTTTTCTCTGGATGACGTGAAAACCTCAGCTGTTTTTTTCTGTTGTGTCTCAGTCGACAGTTTTTCTTTCTTTTTTTTTTGGTGTGAAGAACAAACTCGGTCACTGTGTCCCCCAGAAGCAGCTCAACAAACAAAGTGTAAACTGATCTCAAGTATGTGCAACAGAGGAAGGCGATAAGCAGAGAGAGAGAGAGAGAGAGAGAGAGAGAGAGAGAGAGAGAGAGAGAGAGAGAGAGGCCTGTGTCGCAGTGGTTCCTCTATGTTCAGGATTGCGTGTGTTCCCTAAAAGACAGAAACCCTGCTGAAGAAATCGCTTGTGAGGAATATTTGATGGTTTTAAGGAGAGGAGAAGATGTTTTCAGGATTAGGATTAAAGGTTAGTGGGTAAACTGAGGTCAGTGGAGTGTTCTCTTATGCAAGTATGTGTGTATATGAACACGTGTGGCCGGCCTATACTGTCTCTCATCAGAGGAAATATGTTCAAGGCTGGGCTTCTCCCTTCGTGGCCCCCCCACCCCCCCCACCCCCAGTACTTGTGTTTTATAATCTCAGGTCCATTCCCCGCAGATCCTTCCTGATGCAGTGCCTGGCAGGCCTCATACCTCTTTGTTTTTGCAGGTCCTCTGACCTCTGTGCAAACTCCACCTCCTTGAAGATCACACTCTCAGCGTGTGTGTGTGAGAAGACATTTTGGCCGGATCCTCACAACTTCAAAGGGCTGTTTGAGGATTAAGACTTGGGTTTTTATGGCTCGGGTTAGAATCAGGTTGGGCGTTTATTTGTGATGGTTACATTTAGGGTAAGGGGCTAGAGAATGCATTATGTCCACGACAACAAGTGTGTGTGTGTGTGTATGTGTATGTGTGTGTGTTTAAGAGAGATATTTGTGGCCTTCTCCTTTTCATGCTGCTGGAAAAAAAATGCTGTTACTGAATTACTCAGAAGGGATATTCGCCCCGTATGACAGTTATGGAAAAGTCTAAAGATAACTACACACATCAGTTAAACCCCCTACTGTGCAGTGTCAGTTGTAGTATCGGATGTAACCATGAAAGGCTGCTACGTTGGCGTCCGTCCACGAGGATTATACTCGACTGCTCTACAGCTTATGTGAATTAAAAGTGCCCCTTTTAAAATCTGCTTGTGTTGGGTTTAATCCCTCTCTGTTGGTAAGAGACTCCACGGGTAAATTATTTATGTCCAGCCACGAAGACCGGAAATATGCGCCGTAGTAACTTTGAAGGAAGAGTTTGAAATGAGGGAACATGCTCTTGTTTTCAAGCGAGTAGTTAGATTAGAAGATTTATGTCTTTCTCATGTTACATATGGTGAAATGCTAACGTCAGCATCTGGTTAGCTTATCTTTAGCACATAGACTGGGAATAGAGGGAGACAGCTAGGAAGTGACAGCACCCAGCCAAGAAATAATCTGATGAATAACCCACACAATTCCACAAAATGTCGTCTTTACACTTTTGGTTTTTGTACAGATTTAAAAAAATATATGTTAATTAGTGAGTCGTTAGTTGCAGTTCTGATAGGCCGATTCTTTTTACCTTCAGACAGACGCAGGCCAGTTCCAGTTGATATGCTAAACTAAGCTAAGCTAACCAGCCACGACTGTAGCTTCATATTTATCGGACAAATATAAGAGTGGTATTGATCTTCTCATCTAACTATTGGCAAGAAAGTGACAAAAGCTATGGCTCAGGCACGACTGTTTCCTCTGTTGCCAGTGTCTTTCTTTTTTTTTTTTTTTTAAGCACCTAGCGACAAATCTAGCACTTTTTGGACAAAGCTTATAGCTGCTTTCCAAAGACTCACCGGTTGTTGTTCCGTTTGTCTGACAACAGAAACAGAAAAACATGTAAACGAGAAGAGCTTTATGAGAAATTTGACTGTATTAAAAGACTGCACGTTAACACAGAGAGCAGGAGAGAAGCACGTAGTTAAAGGGCTGAGTGATGTCATGAATATGCTAATTTGCGTATTACGACATCTAGCGACAATTAGCGACTTTTCAAGCAGCTTTAGTTACTTTCCATTGAAAGTAGTTGGCAGCAGTGACTGTACCATGTATCCATGGGTAAAAACAATTTAACTCCAAGAACCATGGATAGTTTTGAAACAGTATTAGTGTTATTTCTTTATTTATTACTGCTGGGTTATTTTCCCAAGCTGAAATACGGTTTAGATGTGATGTTAAAATCTACTTTTTTAATGATTAAATGTCTGTATTTATTACTGATTGTTAATAATATGTGTATCCTTTGCAGTTTTGAAAGCTGTATGTTATTTTCTACATGCAACAATAAATTTGTGACAGTATTAAGTTAAAAATAAACCGTCACCGTGGGTTTCTCTGGTGATCAGATGGTTTTTTTTTTTATCCACATGCACAGGGTAAAGTTAACCCAGTACTGCATCAATACTACAGTGTATTGACCCACAATGGGTCAATTTTAAAAATGCAGCATGTATGTGATGCAAAGCACAGACACACATGACTAGTTCAATCACATGATAGTTTTTCTGTTTAGTCCTTGCACACTGAACCGTCTCTGTCTTGGGGTCAGGGGTGACTTGATGTTGAATTTTTGTATTGATAAAAATGTAGTTTGCTCACAAGGTCTGGTTTTGTGTTATTTTCAAATCTTTCCCTCATTACTTACATTATAAAAGTGTGTAATATCTTGTTGCTTTTCTCTCTCTGTACTGGGTTGAAAGCTAATTCAGAAGCATTTTTCAGCCACTGATGTATTGGTTTTCAAAGCCACTTCCGACACATGGCAGAGCCACAATCAGGCCACAACTGCATCTTTAGCTGCACCTTGAAAAAGAAAAAAAAACCTCTTTGATTTTTCACTTCGACTGCTCCGTGTCAAAACGAACAGTCTACAAAATCATGACAAAATACAAACAACTGCACCAACAACGAAGAAGGGAATCTACTGGCTGAGAAATACTGCTGATTCTCCTCGTGTGTCAGTGTGTGCAACAGTTTGGTTGCTGCAGAGTTAAACAGCATATTTAGTTGTTTATATATTTTTTTTTTTTACTACTTACTTCCTGTGTTGTAGGGTTGGTGTGGATCCAGATCAGGACCTGCAGCCCTGTGGAGACAGCTTCCAGGTCTTACAGGGGGTGAGTATCCCACTCTGATTATTTTTACCGTCAGTGCTGCTCTCGCTGCTCAAAGCGTTCTGCTTCCTCAGTTTTATGTTGATGTGCAGCACAGTCTGACTGCTCAGGAGGAAATGGGGGTGAATTTCAGCTCCATTAGTTTTGGTGTCCAACGTTCTTTCACTTACTGTGACTTTTCTTTTCTTTTTTTTTCATGATTAATCTTTCAAACTGCATCCCACTGTCCCGTGTAATTTAATATTAGCAGACCAATGTGAGCCTGGGATTACGGCTGTGAAGTGGGAGGCAGGATGTGATGGTAGTAACTACACTGATCCGATTGTCATGGACTTATATTATTTAAGCGTTTCAACTACTTCTCAGTCTTGTGGGGAGCGTCACTCTGAGTCCTTTACTTGTGGATAACCTAGTTTGCTTTATTTGATTGTTGATGATGATTTTTTCAGTCAATGTTTGAAATGTACTAAAAGGCCAGAACAATTAAATCAGAATTATGAGAGATTTTGGCAATTTTATGTCATAAGTAGAATGTTTTTTAAGGTTTGATAATCTGACTTGTCGTTAATTGTACAGAACACAGACAGCACAGCAACTTTCTCATTAGCAAGAATATAACCAAACATGCACATTACTTACAGTCTAAATGCATTCACATGTAATACCTAATTGTATAACAAGGTGCAAGATGTAAAACAGTAATACAGTTACCCCATTATATACTTGACGTCTTTCATACGCACCTACCTCATGTTACTGTGTCATATGGTTTCAACTTTCAACTAAATTTAATTACTTTATTTAAAATGAACAAATCAGTCTTCTAACTAAAGTTTAAGAACCAAATTTCCTCGATGGGAATCAACAGGATCATTTTAGCCTGATAACATCGTGTTAGCTTGGTTTAGCTAAGCCGCATTTGAAGAACTGGATCTTCTCATGGATATGTGTGTGTTTGTGCAGCAAATCTAGAGGATTAAATTATGATTGTTTTCTCTTGTGTTTCTCCAGGATGGCCCTCAGGCTGAAGGACAGAGTAAAACCAAACAGGAGAGCGCGTGGCTCTTCAGACTGTGGTACACCTTTGATCACAAGTATCCTTTCTGTGCCCTGCTTTACAGAAACAAAGAAAGCTTGTGTTTCATTTGCTTTTAGGCCACAGCTGTTTGAACTAGCACCGCTCTTTGTGGTAACAACAGGTCCAATATACAGTCAGGATAACTGTCTTTGGTGCACTGCATAAGTCATCAAAGTCGCAATCACAATTGATGTCATTATTAGATCATCCTTATGGGATCAGATTAACCTACATGAATCCATAAATGGTTTTTTCAGTCCCTGCTCAGTCTGGCTATAAAACAGACTTCAGTAAATGTGTTTAGCAGCTCATCCTCCCATTTCCTCCCTCCTTTCCTCCCTGCTGAACAGTTGCCTCCCCAGGTGGCTGATTGTGTGGCTGCTTTTAACCGGAGCAGCTGTGTTTTACAGGGGAGACTTTCTCCCTGGCGACACGTGCACGCTGAAGTGAGCAGGGTGGATTTCTCATGTTCCAGCACTGCGGATGCTCAGATTAACACACATGACTCAGAGCTTTGGTGAGCGGAGTTCAGTGACCTTACATGTTTCTGGGCAGCGCACTGTGCATCTGACAGCTAGGTTTGATTTCTGTTTGGACGTACACGTTGTGACAGGGAGCAGACTGCCTCCTCCCAAAGGGACTTGTGCCCTGACCAGTTGAACATGGCCCTGGGTTTTCCCAGAGTGCAATATAGTCTGTCTAATTACAAACAAGAGGCATAGGAGCCTGCTGGTTCACTCTGCTGCTCTGCTGCCAAGCATCACAAAATTACTTTACCCTCAGCTGCTCACAGAATCCTGTGCAGATTTAAACTCCAAATATATCCTGCTGGTGAACATCCCCCACATTATTAAGCCATAATTCATCACTTGCAATGTGTTTTTGTCTGGTTGCTGCAGGAAGAGAAGGGAAATTGTAGAAAATGACTGGCTTCAATGTCTATTTTTGTTAACGTGTATACAGCTAGTATAAACTGTTTTTATATTGGAATTAACTTGTGTAAACTGTTTGATCATGTATTTAGCTACAGCTGTCTAATGAGTATCCTTTGTTAATAAGCCATGACAAATAAATAATCTATCAGTGCTTTATAGATCAGCCATTAACAGGAACTACTTGTGAGTTACCAGATTGACGAAACTCCTCCTTCTGCATGACACCTGTTTTATTAAATCAGCCCTTACTGTCTGGAAAATGGCTGCAGGACGTTTAGATCAGTCCATTTATAAACAGCTTATTAACATTTACAACTGCACACCTGTTAGATTACTGTAAGCACCCCTTGACATTTATAATTGCAGGTGACTGACTAACTTTTGCTTGTGGCTTATTTAGAAAGTGAGAATCATAATTAAGCCATCAAGTAATAAATGTTAGCAAGCCATTAATGAAGGATAAAGGCTCTAATGAGTTAATAAACCATAACCATTCTGCAGTTATAGACGTTATGCCCGGCTCATTTAAGAGCATAACCAAGAAGAGAGGGTCACACAGCGACCATGTAAAGAAACCAAATTTATTAAGGATAAGCCAAGTTAACCTAAGCAGACTAACCAAAAAAAGCCAACTTAAATTACATGTACAGAAACTGAGGCCTTAACCAACACTATGGCACTAAGGCATCAGCCCTCCAGGAGGGCTGAGAGAGAGAGATGCCATTGAATTTCCCAGGTAAAATCCGCCAGGTTATCAGGAAGTACCTGAAAAACACACAGGAAACAGGAACAGGCCAAAACAAAACAAGGGCCGTCACATAGATTAATAAAAATCATTAATAAAGGATCACAGGTTCCTCCCTTTCTCTCAACTGCATTTGTAAATCCTAATAAATCATTAATAAAGGGTGGTTATAGTAACTATCAAATCTGCACCTGTGTCATGTTGGAGGAGAAGTTTTCACAACCTGGAAACCCAAACGTTGTTCTTGTTAAATACTCTATCAAGCATTAGTAAATTACAGTTTAAAGATGTTTTATAAAAGGTTTCTTATGAGGAAGTAGTACAGATACGGAATATTAACTCCATTAAACCAGCCTTTGCTCAGTGTGTATAATGTTTGAGCTCTGCAGGTCATCCTCCTTAATAACTATCCAGTTACCTGAAGCCCATTCTGACACATAGCGGTCCGCCTCTCACCTCCACTCTGCCCAGCTACTGTGGGCCGCTGGCGAGCTGTCTGACCAGCCCCCAGGCGTACGAGGTCAGTGTCCACACGCACTTCCAGAACAGTAGATGTGCAGCAAACAAACAGTGACACTCCCATGTGACCAGTGGTCTGTGAGAAACCCATGTCCACACTGCAGAAAGTGTGGAAAGTCTATTCACTGCATGTTGTTGTAAAGAGTAGTTGAGGGGAAAAGGAATTGGAAAGACATATTTGCTTTCTTGATAAGAGTCAGATGAGAAACCTGATGAAATTTAGGTTATTCAGTTAGCTTAGTTTACCACAAAGTAAACAGCTAGCCTGGCTCTGTCCAAAGCTAAAAACACTTGTCTATCATAACCTATAAATCACTCTAATTAACATCTTATTTATTGTTTGTTTAATTCCTACAAAGTTGTAAAGGTGTTTTTTTTTCTTTTTACCTTTGGACAGAGCCAGGCTAGTTGTTCTCCCCTAAGCTAAGCTAAGCTAACCAACCGCCAACTGGAGCTTCATGCTAAATATGTGTCAAATAATTATTTTTGAGTATTTTTCTTTATCAAAATGCCTCTCGTTTGTCTTCCTGTAAAATATTTTGATGACTCATCTTGAACTCGGGGGCAGTTGTATAAATAAATCGAACAAAACTTGGGGATTTGGGGTGACTAGCTAAGCTAAGACAAAACATCACTTCAGTGTTAGCTAGTAGTTAGCTAGCAGAGCAAAGTCGTAGAGGTGTGTGCAGTTTTCTCCTGGCAAAAACTTTAGTCACATTCTTTGGAAATGTTAACAAAGTCTAATTTATTCTTATTAATAATTAAGAATAACATATTAGTCCAGACATACTTGGAAAGTACAGTGGGGTCCAAAAGTCAGAGACCACTTTCCCATGTTTTGGTGCTAAGGTTAAAAAAAAAGCTTAATTTGAGATATTTTTGCCAGTGAACAAAAAGTGGTAGTTTTTCTTTCCCTTCTTATATTCAAACCTGAGGCTGGAGCCTCAGGGAAGGCTCTCTGTGAATACTGAAGGTTTCTCTCAGGAGGATTGTGATATTGTCAAAATATTCTCAACGCCTGCCAGTAAACACACAAAGCACTGAGGCCTTCAGTGAGGAAGAAAATGGACGGTCAAGAAGCCTTTTTGCATTCAGAGCGCAGCACAAAAGGCCCTTCTCCGCCCCACCTCCGTGATGATCACTGTTCTGTAAGACACTGTGCTCTGATATTTAAAACACAGGAGCACCCATTGAGGGGACGGTCACACTTGGATTCACTCTGTCAGATTCTCCTTTTCATTTCATGTGAAATACTTTCACGTAGAGGCTTTTTGCTATTAAACTCTCCTTTCACAATAACCCACAGAGCCTTTTACACCGGGGTTACTAACTCTAAATTTCCTTACCACAAACTAGAGTGATTGTCTCTCATTTAAATTTAATTCTCTGTGAGCTCCGTCTTAAGATCTACAGCCGTAAATGTTTTCCTCTGCTGCTGTGTTGCTGTTGGTTTTGCCGGCGTAGTGCTGCCTGCCAGAGGAGCCATGAATTTAGATGGTAGTTCATATTATCAAGGCTGTCCAGTGCTCTCTGTCTCCAAGTGCCTGGTTCCTCTTTGGTTATGGATATTATGAAATGATTTCATTGACCTCAAATTGTAAAACATGCTAAAATGTGGCTGTGGTTTATAATTCCCAGGATGGTTTTGAAAAGATAGTGCTACAGAATTCATTTTGAAGGATACGGCTGGACATATTCTATATTTTTGTCTTACTGTTAACGCATCCAAAGAAAAAAAAAACAACAACAACAATGTGTTAGTCCATCCCTCAAGACTTTCTCACTTCCTCTGGTGTGACAGTGGCACTCAGCTCCGAGAGCACTGGTTCCTACTAAAGACATAAAGCTTCACTCACGGTGTGGCACATTAATGTTTTTAGTAGGTTTTGAACGACAGTGGAGCTCAGTGACAGAGGAATGAGCTCTATCAGTAAATATTTAGGATCAATTCATTGTGATTTTTGTCTTTTCATGGAATTTGACAATGAAAAAAAATAGAATATACGGTAATACTACAATACCACTTATACTTTAAATTTCTTCTAAAAGCTTATTTCATACATGTTGTCCCCCTTTGTCTTTATTTTATTTGTATTATTTTTCGTTGGCATCTTGATAATTATTTAAAATAAATGTATTCATTTTACCTTATTCTTATATAAGAGTTTTTTTTTTTACTATTTTAATTAGCAAGTAGCCACGTCCTTTTTAACAACATAAAATGCCTGATGGATTCGTAAGTTAATTGTTGGAGATGGCGGGTTATGGGGGTTATGTAATTTTTTTTTCAGATCCCTTGATCTGAGTAATCCTGTGGTGACCCGAAGTTAACTCATCCTGTTCTCCCCGGGGACATGGAAGGACTATTGATTGTCAGCCAGTCAATTAGAGCTGTGAGAACCTTATGCTGCAGTTCACTGTGGGCTCGGTCCGTGTGTCACTGTGCAGCCTGTGGCGTCGTGTGCTTTATGTTTCAGCTGCACTGTAATTCAGTTGCTGCAGTGCGGGCCATTAAGTGAAAGTCTCCTCCCTTCCCTACTGTAAATCCATAGTGTCCCTTCTGAGCCTCTGCACCGTTGATGTGTGTTCGTCCGTTCACTCCACACGTACCCGCACTGTATGTAACCCCCCACCCCCCCCCTCATGTTCCACTGTGGATGTGTTTTCAGAACCACGAGCAGCTGAGGGACCACGACTCTGACTTCATCCGTAACGACAGCGACCTGACCTACACGTTCGGTGACACTGCCATCACAGCCAACGGTGCGTCCGGCGGCGGGGGGGATGGTGCCGGGGGCTCAGGCTGGAGCGCCAATGGAAAAAGGAGCGGCAGCACCTCAGAGGAGGCGCTGGAGCGTGAGCTGGACTCCCGTGAGCAGGAGCTGCTGAGCCGTGGCACGCGCCTGGTTTTCCCCATTGAGGATCATGTCTGACCCTCCCTTCCTCCCCCTCCTGCGCCTCTTCCTCCCTGACCTGACCCCCAGACCGCATCGCCCCCAGCTCTCTCCACATCCTGCGGGCAGAGCGTCCAGTCCTCCAGAGATAAGACAAAGTGGAGATACGGGAGTAGACAAGAGGGGAGGGCTCAGAGTGACTGAGCCCCCTCCAGGCCTGGGAGCAGAGCTCAAGGATCATTTCATCCTCATTACAGGGAGTTTATTCTCCAGGAGACGTGTGTCCTCAAGAGCGTCAGAAGAGAAATTCTCAGTGCTGTTATACTGTGATTCAGTTTCCTGAACAGGAGGGAAACCATTATGCAGGATGTGGGGATGAAATATCCTCAATCAAGATTGAATCTGCACTTTTAAACATGTGACATTTTGTGTGTTCAGTGGAAAAGAGGTAGAAAAGTGAACGATCGCCCGGCAGCGCTCTCCTCTCATATGATCTCACAGGTTTCTCATCACAGCACATCAGAAAATGCTAAGTGGCTTCCTGTAGCCACAACCCCATTTAGATGCTGCAAAGAGGCTCCGCAAACCAAAAGTTCATAACGAGTTCTCCGGTAAATGCGTTCCACTGATCCCATGTAATGTTTGGTGTGTGTGTGTGTGTGTGTGTGTGTGAAGATTACCTTTGTTTCACACAGAAGCGTCTGTGTGGAGGACGTGACATGTGAACAGACTGGAGACTGCGTTGCCTTCTCAGCCACCGCAGCCCGTCATGGGTGAAGTAACAGGAATGGAGAATGCGAGCGTGTAAATAGTCACAATGATGAGCTTTGTTCCTTTTTGGAGGCACTGCTCCTTTCAGTGGATGACCTCCCATGACTGTTACAGACAGCATCTGTGTGTCTTGTCTTTGAGTTGGCCTGGATCTATTTCTTTGTTTTAAAGTAGTCGACTGGTTGTCGCAACAATGACATGAACAAGGAATGGGAGTGTTTCAACGCTAATTACATTGTGTCTTATGAAACAATGCTGATTTCCCAGAACTTAAAAAATAAACTGACATGAGATATATGCTCTAATACAGTTGGAGAGCAATTTCAACAAGATAAAATAAAGGACAGGTTTTCATCATAATTTTGAATCCTTTAAAAAAAAAAGAAAAGAAAAAAAAGATTTTGTGTACTGATTTTTAAAACATTAAAAAGACCAGATGCATCCAGTAAAGTAGGGCTGCAAATTATTTTCATTGACAATTAATCTGATGATGATTTTTGTGATTAGTCAAGTTTATAAAAATCAAAAAATAGTGAATAATGTCTATGACAGAGATTAAAGTGGCATCTTTTCTTACCTGCAGTCCAAACCCCCAAAAATATTCAGTTGACCATCATATGTGAAAAAAACCAGCAGCGAAGTCTCACACTGGAGAAGCTGGAACCAGTGAATGTTTTTACTTTTTTCTTCTTTTTTTTTAAATCATTAATTTTAATTAATTTCAATGAATCGACTTGAATCATTTCAGCTTTGCACTTAAGCCAACTTCAGTAAGTGATATGATGACATCATGCTCGCACAGGTCACACTGAGTCGATGCAGGAGCCGCGCCGACAGCAAACCGGTTCTTCAAACTCTGAACAAGGTTTCACCTGTCAACTTTATACTCAATAAGTGTTCAGATGCCAAACACCGACAACCACAGATTAGCAGAAGATGTGCTTGCAAAATAATTTCACCCTTTACCTTCATCAGCAGTATGTATACTCATAAACAATGGTGTCTGTGGGCTGTTTCCGCCATAAATATATTAACCTCAAATGTTGTTGAAAATGTGAGCACGTAAACAGAACGATGAGGTGAGATAGTCTCATAAATCACTGAAGTCAAGTGTAATTTATGTTTTTGTAAACCTCATGTCTCACTTGTTGTTCCTGGGTTTACAGTTAAATATATTAACATACATAAATTCCTAATTTGTGTTGTCCTATTATTGTTTCAAGGTTTGGTTTTTCTTTTCTTTTCCACATTTGTCAGGATACATCTTTATTTTGTTATAAGATCACGTCGGTAGACAGATGCAATACGTAAACTTGAATGTATTTTGGAAATACGCTTCATAAGCTTTAAATTTCCTTCAAACAAGATTGTTTTCTGGTGGATAGATGAGAAACTTGATGCCACTTTACTATCTGTCCATTAAACATGAGGATACAACCAGTACCTGGTTAGCTTAGCTTAGCTTAGCACAAAGACTGAAAAGATATTCAAACTGAGCCAGGCTAGCTGTTTCTCCTTGTTTCTAGTCTTTATGCTAAGCTAAGCTAAGCTAAGCAGCTGCTGTCTCTAGTTTCATATTCGCTGCAGACATGAGAGTGCTGTCAGTCTTCTCATCTAGCTGCCACAAAGTCAATGAGCGTGTTTCCCAAAATGTGAAAGGATTTCTTTAAACTGGTGCAGCTCTATCGCTGCACATACACACTGGTGATATAGAAACTTCCCCTAAGATTTAATTACACTTCACCTGAACATCCATTTTCTTAAACTGTAGTCCACTAAAATCACGAACCTCCTGGAGTTATTGTTGTGATATCAAACATTTAGATAGACCCTGGTGTTTACATCAAATATAGGATACAGTGTGACATCATTCTACCTGTAACCACCTCCACTCAATGGTTTTAAATTGGAAAAGTGGTGTAACGCTGCAGCATGCAAGTCCCTGATAACATGCAGTGGCTTTGGGTTTCCGGATTTCATTTGCTGCAGCAGACCACTGAACCGTGTTTGACCTACAGGTTGATTTGCATCAACTGCACATGATCAATAGATTTGTTTAACTATTTATACTACATCGGTTACTCTTCGTTGACCCTCTGACCACATTTCCTCTGTGTGCAGTTGACATTTTGCAGGTCAGAGCGGGACCCAGCACCTTTTTTTTTTTTTTAGGCAGGTGGAGCGGCTGGTTGAACCCGCCACCCTCCATGGGAGTAGGAGGAAGGTTTTTTCCACTCTGTCGCATTTTGGTGTTCCCCCTTTTACCAAGTCTAGACATTTGATCTGCTCCCTGTTTTAAATTCACCGCACAGCACGTGTCGCCTTTTGTTTTTCTCGTCCGACTGCACACGGCGGCGGCTGCTGCATATATGTATGAGTACACAGGGGCAGGTGTGAAAAGCGCGATTGTGCAAGTTGGAAGCCCCACATAAGTTTCACAGCTCACCGGGGACCTCCAGGAGGAAGTGAATCTAGTTACGCAAGCCGTTGCCGAGCTTTATGTGCACTGTGGGTCATTTTAAACTTAGCTGGAGAGAGAAGTAATGTGAAGCTGCGCTCAGCTCGTCTCTATTAAAGGCACTAAAATAATCACTTGTTTGCCACCTTGTCACAACAAACCGCTGGTGTTAGACTTGGACTCATCCCATCTCCTCTGTGGTCTATGGGCGGGTCACACAGCCTCCTCTGTGTACAGCATAAACCTGCAGCAGATGTTATAGTGTCTCTGAAAGTAAAAGACAGACAAAACTGATTTATTTCCTGCTGTGTTGACTCGCATAAGAAAAAAAAAAAAAAAAAGGGACTCACGTTTGTTGACATGTCCAGGACAAAGTGACTGGAGAGGTTTGCTTTGAGACGTGGGAGCACTTTATGGACAACAACACAGACGACTGGAGTGACGGCTGCAGGCAAATAAATGAGCAGAGTTTGACACTTTACCTCGAGCAGAGGACACTCTTATATAACCTTCATGTGCACCCTCTCTCTCTCTCTCTCTCTCTGTTGTGCTGTCAAACGTCTTGCTGGCTATATTTACATGCTCTCTGTACCTGACAAATATGAGATGTAGCTCAATTGTCAATATGTGGACCTGTTGTTTCTAGTAGCAGCTGGCTGCCAGGATCTCCCTGCCATGGTTTGCATGTCAACATGTTAATTAAAAACTGTCGAATAATGAGCCACCCAGTGTAGTTTGTTTCAGTCTGTCAAAGGAAGTGGTCTACATCTTCATTTCTTCCGTGCCCTTTCTGCTTACCTGTCAACACCATCAACAGTTTCCTGGATTTTTATAAACTTTGAATACAATCACATGATGAATAAGCTTTTCCTAAAAACATATCTATTTATTGATACTTCTGCTTCACGTCGCCTCCTGGTTTTAAGTCATAGGTCAAAGTGTGTAATTCTGTTACACTTCCTCAGTTATTAATATTTAAACAGACATAATATTTCAGCCAGTGTACAAAGTCCAAAATGCTTAATTATTTACCACTGATTGTACATTATTTAATTTTGAGGACATGTACAGTTAATGAGTTATAATGAGAAATATATTGCATTTAAGACTATGGAGATCCACTGCACATAAGCAAATGATTATGGTTCACATAATATATTTTGATGTATGGAGGCTCGGTCTAATCCAACTCCATTCAAATGACAAGATGCTCACATATGTACACTGATCACCTGTCAGCTCATTATGACGGTTTGTACAGTGGAGAAGTTCAACTGTAAATTGTAATGCAGGTGTGTCTTAAAGCCCCCGTTCACTTCCACTGGATCTCTAACTCCGCCAACACTTTAAAGATCATGTATTTTCATGCAAATCCTGCTCATCATCATCATCATCATCACCATCATCATCATCATCATCATCATCAATCTGAACAACAGACATGTACATTTTCTTCAGGAGACACTTCTCTAGTTTTTACTAACTCTTTATTGCAGTCAGTTTCAATGGTCTAAAAGTTATTTCCTTCTTTGACAAGAGAACTTCAGATATTCCACCCAGAACAATTATTACAGAACCAACTTCTAAAGTTGAACATGTGGATGCCGATAAGTATTTTACCCCTCCCCCAACACATCCTTTAACCAGAGGGATATCACAGCATTTTACACCATTTTCGAACAAAAACTATAAACAGTAAGAACGGCACCTAATATGAATCAGTACCGTCTGTTGTATTTGTGACAACCTTTTACATAATTCACTGGCAGAGGACAGAGGCAGCTCTCCAAGACACGTCCACGGGATATTCGAAGATTTCACACCCATGCGAGTGTTTTGTCAGTGGGGCGCTGCAGCTGTCCGGATTCCTGAGGGGCCGGGGGTGGAACAACAGTTCCTCAGTCGGACCTCTTTTCCAGTAAAAATACAGTACTTTCTTCTTCGAAAGCTCTACATTAGCACTGTTAGTGAGCCAATTGCAGTTAGGTATCAGTAATGCTCGAGATTGCTGCCACACTTAGTCATAGACTGGACGGATAAGGCGCGCAGGTGAGAGCGAACCTGACGCTGCCACCCTGGATCTTGGCAGTCGTCTCCAGAGAAAGACCCATCTTGGGCTTTTTCTGGCCCGCGCCTGCAGGGGATTTGAGGAGGGATTAGTGCTACTAAAAGGACAGAGGGATGGAGGCTGGCCAGTGTGACGGCAGAACAAAACAGCCCCATCTCTCTCTTCTGGTTTATTTCCCCTCCCCGCATTCTTTCTATTTGCACAGACCCTTTTTGGTGTTATCCAGGTAACACTGTAAAAAATAAGCTGCCATCTTCCTGTTTCAGATTCATCTGTCTGTGATTGGCTGCTCTTTCCACTTGGATTTTCTCCAGTTCATCGACCCGGCTGAAGGAAAACAAGCCCAGAGTTGTGCTTGCGAGCTCCCAGTGGACCACATTCCAGCTGCTTGTGTTGTTATTCCACCTTTTGCCCTCAGCCCTGGATACCAGGCCCCTGGAAGAGGAAAACAATCAGCTGATAATTAAAATAAAGCCCTCAAGTTATGACACAGCTGTACAGTGAAACAGATACACGGCATGAAGACTACACACACATTCAGCAGGATTACTGTATGGATCCTCTGACAATAACTCTATCAGTACCAAAATCAGGGTGGAGGCAGTAAGACAAGGGGCACCCACCGCCTCCACCCTTGCGTCCGCTGCATGCTGACGGTTTGTAGGCAGCCCAGCTCTAAAGGGCCTTGCTTGTGAGAGCTGGCGGTGACAGGCTGGTGGTAACCCTGGGAGCTCTGTCCTGTCGTGGACAGCCGTATACAATGACCCCCTTCTCGACAGCACAGTCTGAGGCCCAGCTGCACTCGCTGCCAGCCCCCACACTATCCATGAGGGGACCCAGCATTGCCAGTCAGAAAACAATGACGCCTCTATTAAACAACAGATCGCTCACTCATTAAGGAGGGAGAAACATTTCTGACTATCTCACTCTGAATGCTACAAAAACCAGTTACAGTGGTGTCACTTGTGTTGAAAATAGCAGCGCTGTAATATCTAATCTGTCTGAAATGTTCAGCCCTTTGAGAAACCAAATACATGTTGTTCATTTAGCCTGAACACCAGGTTCCATCTCAAATTGTGATTGATTACCTTGTAGGAAAACTAAAAGAGAAACAACCACAACACTGTCACATATTTATAGGTTAGGAGCGTCTGGCTGAGCTGTTATCTCCAACACAAGAGTGGAGTTACTTATTATCTGAACAACACAGTTAACATATAATATGAGGCCAAAAAATGAAAAAAACAAAAAAAAAATCAAAATAGGGCTGAACGATTATCTTAAGTATTATCAAAATCACAATATGTAAAAAAAAAAAAAAGAAATCAAAAATAATAATTTCAACTGAAATCATGACTCATATCACAATTGCAATATCTGCCAAAATAATTGCAATATGTTTTTTTTTTTGCATATTGTTCAGCACTAAATGAAAAGTTGGATTTCATTAAGAAGGTAAACAAAGATAGATGATTTGACAAAGTTACTGTAAAGTCTCTATAAATATATTGTGTCTGATTTGTTTTTAAACAAAAAAACTGAACTTCTCTTAAAGTTAAAGAATAGATTCAAGTTTCCACATCTCATTAGTGTGAGTTGTGCGTTGGATCGTGGTGGCTTCCAAGAAAACATCACAGTGATGACTAGAAGTTGTGCTTTTTCTTTATGAAAAAACAAAAAACAAAACTGTTTTCCACCAGCATCTGAAAGCGAGAGCTGCCTACACATTCATCATCCTGCACAGTGACCGTCAAACAAGTCACCAACAATTAGTAAAACCTTTTTGAGTGAAGGGAACTTCCCTTTTAATTCATCAAATTAAAGCCTATATGTTGTTTGTGGCTACCATGTCAAACAAATACAAATGTGAGACTGCTGATATCCATATGCTCATATGCCTCTTTCAGATAATGGTCGAAGGTCACGGATATGTCAGAGAGCAGCAGTAAGACCTGGAGCCTGTGTCAGAGGGTTTCTGTTCAACCACCAACTTCCTGCACTGACAGAAGTGTATGTTTAAAAACATGAGTGATGCAGCTGCAGATATAAATCTTCACTCACTCTTGAATAACACCGCCTCTGAGTGAACTGAGCATACCTTTAACCCATCGATTCCTCATGCCACATCCTCATGTTGCTTTGTCCGGGCTGTTTTTCTGATAGCCCAGCTGCCTCATGACTTCACTGCAGTAGGCCTCCACCTGATTTATCTGCTCCACACTGAGCCGCTCCCTCCAGGCATATATAGCCTCTTTTGCATCCCTAGATGATATAAGGAAGGGCTTGTCAGATGAATACCCCTGTCCGTGCGTCATGTTCAGTGCAAACTTCTCCAGAGCAGGGGAGGTGGAGAGGTTGGAGAAGCGGTAGAGCCTCTGGAGCTCCTCCATGGGGTGGAGGACCAGGTCCTCGTAGCGGATGCGGAGGTAGTTCCTCCTCACCCATGGGGGCGCGTTCATCACCAGCATCATGTCACTGAGCCAGTTGTCACAGATAAGCTCCATGGCGCTGGAGACGTAGCTCTCAGCCCGGTTCACCCTGTTGCTCGGCACCAGCAGCCGCTTGTACTTGTCGGTCTGCTTCTTACTCCTGAGCACCTGGATGCTCTCCTTCACCAGGGCCTGCTTGGACTTCAAGCGCGAGTTGTGCACGGCCCTCGGGTCTCTGAAGAGCTGGATAATCTGGAGGTTGATCGCAGGGTCTTTCATCAAAGGAACCAGCGTGCTCAGGTCCAAGACGCGGACTCCTTTGATCACCATCACTGGGTACTTTTTGCACTCCCTCTCCAGCTCCCTGATGTCCCTCTTTTGGCACTTTGCGCACTGGTCCTCCTTCACCAGCCCGATATCGTGCCGCTTGTGCGCACCACACAGCGGCTCTGAACATATCACCTTGTTCATTTTCCAGCCGAATATGAACGAGGTGGTGATGTTTTGCGTGCCGGCGTAAAGTTTGAGGACGGAGAAGTCGCAGCGGTACAGGGCGTTCATCATGTCCCGCACTGCGCCCTGGAGACTGGCCGCATCCCCCGGGTACAGAGCCTGCCATATGTGCCACATCGGCTCGTACAGGTAAAAAACATCGGGGTGCTGGTTGAACAGCTCCCCCAAGAACGAGGAGCCAGTCCTCCAGGTGGCATGCAGGTAGATGTTCATCCGTGACTGGCTCCTGTTGACGGCGTACTCCGTCGTGTCGCTGCCGTTGAGTCTGTAACCGTTATCCCACAGCAGCGCCACCGTGTTCTCCAAATCTGGGCATCTGGGCTGTTGCTGCGGCAGTCCATGCTTCCCGCGTTGATAGGATTTATCCCCGTAATCTAACACGTACGGGATTAGCAGAAGTAAACCTGAATATGCCAGTATCAAAATCAAGTATTTCTTATGTAGCCTCCTCTTCATTTCCTTTCGGCGGGAGGGGGCGGCTAGCTTCTTCTCTGATGGTCAGCACAGCGCTTTGTGGAGCGCCGAGGTCTCTACAGTAAAGTTATGTGAATGCTCGAGAACTGGGAGTGTGTGCGGGGGATTAGCCCCGCCCCATTAAAGACAAAATAACCAGATTATTTCTCCTTCCTGTCCGTATGTACGTACGCAGTCGTTCAGAGCGGCTCGGTGAAATAAAATTTACAAAATGGTTCCAGCGGGGATAATTGTTGTCAATGTCCCTGTAAAACCGCCATAAAATTACGTGGGATGCCGCGCGAGTGGGCACCAAGTTAAATTGGGAATACCGAAGAGCCTTGAAGGGAAGAGGTTTCAACGGCTACCGTCCATCGTAACACCTCTGTACTGCAGTGAATTATGGGAGATTCCTGTGAAATTAGTGCTCCCTTTGAATTGCGAATTAGTCGTTATTGTATTCTTTTCGCTAGAAAATGAACTTTTTCGCGCTACAAATTCACACTTTCAAATATTAGCTTTTCGATTATGATGAAAACAGACCAACGATTTTTTTAATATTCTGGTTTCGCGCATGCGCACACTTCCTCGTTTGTTGTCAGGCGAGCACTGCGCGGTTCTGGTGGAATCAATGGAGGAACGACTGAAATTTTTTTTGGCTTTGCAACAAATGGCGTATTTAACACATTCTTGCTTGTGCTAGCCACTTAGCCTGCAGAGTTACCAGTCCAGCAGCAAGCCTGACAGATAGCTAGCTAACACCAGTGGATGCTTGTAACATCAAGCTAACCGCAGCACTGTCGACAGCAACATGACACACTGGAGCATCTTCGAAAAGGAGACAGAGAAAGAAACGAAGAAGTTGATCAGATGTATCAGCGGGGTCGAGGATGAGGAGGACCAGAATTTTCAGCTGGCACTGAAATTCGCTTCGTCAAATTTTAAGTGAGTTAGCCGTGGACAGGATGGATGCTAGCTTGTGAACTGCTAACATGTAAGCAAACGTTAGCTACAAGCGGCGAGTATAGTAATAGTCTGGTTTGTTGACAGGTTCCATCGTTACCTGGATGTGGACAGCCATAAAGTCCAACGCAGTATAAGCGGGTGAGTGTTGCCTGTGGTATTATTGCTCCTGCAGTGTCTTTTGCCTTTGCGGGGGCGTACCAATTATTTTATATTTTAAGAGGACTATGGGAGTATCCACCTAGAAAGTGTCTAGTTTTCTTTAGCATTTGGATGCTGTAAGAACTTATGTTTCACACATGCTTAAGTGACAGAAACTTTGGCATTGGACCATACCATGGTAACATGAGTAAAAACTTTCATGGTGCATATTCCCCAAATTAATTTGTGTTTAACCGAAGCTAATTTTGGCCCAGGACCAAACACAGCCAGCAATGGACCTGCAGCTCTAACATAGTGTCAAAAGTTTTTTAGACTGAATCAGGAATCATCATCACAGCACAGACAATGCTCTGATGAAACTATCCTTCAGCACTGATGTTTCATGTAGATGCTCTTCCTCATGGTGGAACAGACCGGAGACAATTTTACTTCCAAAACATGCATCATACTTTTGCCAGTTTTAACACTGTTGTCATTTTGCACACTTATTCATAGATGACTGTTGATTTTTGGTTGTGAGGATTCAGTACCCAGATGCACACAGTGCAGAGGAGTGAGCGTGCTGATTCATCTTTATAGATGTACTGTACTAAATGATAAAGACTCTGAATGAATATCACATGTTTTCCAGAATCTACGAGAAGCTCATGGTCCACTCCGACTTGAGCAAAGCAGGAAGCTGGATGAGGCTGACTGAAGAGTTCCTTAACTCACCTTTACCTAATACTGATGGAACAAAGGTGTGGCACAGACATGGGCTGACAGAAAATTAACTCATGGGAGGAGGAGGAGGAGAGAGAGGGTTGATGCTCTGACATTGACATCAAGACAAATCCCCAATAGATTGTTTCCTTCATGGCTTCATGTTTCCCTCTTTTCTTTTTGCAGACTGATGTACACTACAGCATCCTGTCACTGCTGCTCTTCTTGTCCGACTCCCCCTCAAACACAAACTTTGTTGAGAGACCCAGGGTGAAGGAGGCCGGTGAGTCGATGTTTCACAGATACTTAATGTCACTTTTATATTGACTTAAAAATGCTACATGTCCATGTGAATCATGATCTCTCCAACTTGTCTGTGCAGAACCAGAGGACAACTTTGACTGGGGTAAATATCTGATGGAGGGCGAGGACATAGACATCGGACCATACCCGGATACTCCTGTGAGTAAATCATGACCAACCCTTTATGGACGTGAATTATCACAACGCCAGCACCGCACTATTTAGATGGTTTTTCATCTAAATCAGTCTTGACTGCTTTTCAGGAGTGGTCTGAAGAGGAGAGTGAGGATGATGACAGTCAGCAGCCAATCAGCAGGGAGGACTCTGGGATCCAGTTGGACAGAACCCCCCAGGAGGACCAGGACAACACCAACAAAACAGTTCCAGTCACATGGACAGGTGCAAACTTGTCACACAGTGAAATAACATAACAATTGTAAAATAGCTCATGGAAGCCTTGGTGATTATGGAATAATGTAAAAACGAGACGGGACCAAAACAAGCATCAACACTGAAGCTGTTTTTGAGTATAGAAATAATTCCAGTTTTTATTCCAGTGGGGGAGCCTGACGCCCGGGCCTGGCTTGAACAGCATGTGGTGACACCGTACTGGGTGGCTCACGCTCCTCGTTTTCCCCACAGCTTGCATTTACACTCCAACTTGCTCAATGTGTGGTAAGACTCCAAACTGTTCAAAATGCCTTTACTTTGTAATATAGTATCGATTCACTGATCTTTTTTTTTTTACCACTTATAACAGTGTAAGTATTTGTGCCAAATTTACTATGACTAGGTTTCAAGCATAAAGTCTTAATAGAAGAAGATTGTTAGATTTTAAGGATATAACAGTGTGTACATTATCATGAGGTTATATGTGCATGATTTAGCTTTTCCTGACTCTCCATAGTTACTGTTTCTTTGCAGAAGACTTGTGTTTTGTCTGGTACGACTGTATACAGCTCTGGTCTGTGTCTCCTCCCACACTGAGCATAGTTATTAAAGTTGGTTCAGTGTCCTCAAATCTGTGACACTCTTATTGGTAAAACCTCCACATGAGGCGGACGTACTTCTCCCACCTGTTTACTATGTTACTTTATTTAGTTACGCTCATAATGAAAAGACTTATTGCTAAAATATAAAAATATTTTCTAATAATATTGTGACTTTATCTTTACAAAATAGGACTTTATATTCTGGTCATTGTGAAATCATCTTTCTTTATTTGCTTGACTTCATGTTTGTTTGTTTTTTGCGAAACATCACCATCTTGTTTTCAAAGTGTCAAATTTATAAACTAGGCTTAAATGCTAGGCATAGTTTTTTAAAGCAATTATTCTTTGAGGTATGACAATGTTAAGATAATGAAGTGGTCAAAAAATAGCATGGTAATGTTTTTGCTAGCTTTGCTTTTTTATAAAATGATATTCTCCTAAGAATTCCATATATTCCATAATCATCTGGACTCGGAGTGATATGGTTTTTTAATAGGTTCATATCGGTAAAGACTGATATGATTAATGGCTGGTTGAAGTTGACTTTAGTGGATTTGTGAAGTTGAAATGTTTCAAAATGGTCAGATGTTAATGCGCAGCGTGTCTCCTCTCAGGGATCAGCACTTGTACAACACTGATCCATTGTATCTGCCAGAAGAAAAGGCCTTTGTCACAGAGACCCAAGTTATACGGGAAACACTGTGGTAAGATGTAACGATGCTCTGATGCGTGACTGTGTTAATCATACGAACTTGCAAAGAAATGCATCTCCTGCTTCCTCACAAGTAAAACCCTGTTTTATCTCGTAAATCTTAAAACATTCGAGTCCTCGTTGTGTCATACAGGAAATTCCTTGTCGTTTACAGGTTCAAATTGAGATAACTTATTTCTTAATATCACGTAGTTAAGCTGTGACATCTGGCTATCGTGTTGCAGGCTTCTGTCTGGTGTGAAGAAACACTTTATATTCCAGCACCATGATGGAAAAGTGTCAGTGAGGAATAACGTGGTGGTCACTCATCTAACTAGTGTAAGTTCAAAAATGACTTGTATTACACCTCAATAAACTCATCCTCTGTGAGCTGTAGGAAACAATTTTTTCGTCTTTTGTGCTACAGAACTGTCTGCGCTCCGTGCTGGAACATATCGCAGTGTACGGCCAAGCTGTGTTCAGGCTGCAGAGGTTCATAGACGAGGTGACCGGCTACAGCTCGGAGCCTTGCCCACCCAGCTCTGGTTCCTCCCACGGCTCCAAGAAGGGCTCTGAGCCTCCCTTCAGGACCTACCAGGCCTTTGTGTGGGCGCTCAACAAGTACTTCACCAGCTTCAAAAAGGAGCTGACCTCAATTGAGAGAGAGCTCATACGCAATGGCAAGTACAAGTGTGTTTAATGGGCTGAAATCGTCGGCTAAGTCCTGATAGAACTGTAACTATAACTCTGCCTGACACAAAGACAAGAGGCAGGGGGAAACGTCTAGCTCTGTCTGAAGTTCAAATAGATGCCTACCTCCATATCTGAAGCTCACTAATTAACACAGGCCCTGCTCAGACCTGCAGTAACATGCATCTTCAGTGATCCAATCACAAGTGGACAGCTCTAAGAACATCATTTCACACCTGGCTTTAAAATGTGTTGTCTCCAGTGACCACATGTGATTAGATCTGACTTCCTGCTTCATATGCAAATGAACAGGTTTGTGTTGCTGTTTTTAGTTAATCTGACAAGACTGTCAATTGACAATGTGCTTGTGTGTGTGAGCGACAGACAGCGGGGCACGGAGGAGCTGAGCGAATCATCGCTCTGCTCACAGCTCTACCCTGAAATAAGGTTTTAACCATGTAAATACTCAAATATTTTCCGTTCATCATGAAACTGTGTTGGGACTAATCAGACGTCAGTGGAGTTGGCGGTCCTTCAGTGTGACCCATTTGCGTTCACTCTGCTAAAGGAACGTGGACACCTGCGGTCTGAGTGATCGGATCTCAAATGCTTCCTCAATGCATCTTGTAAGAGCTGACCACTTGTGATCGGATCGCCTGAGACGGATGTTAATACGTCACAACACACCACTTTACTGCTGCTACAGCTGATGTGCACAGAGTTTTGTAGTTCCCCTGTCTGATGTATTACTATTCATTAAAGGATGCAGGATGATGTGTCACAGCTTGTTAAGATATGTGGTGTGCTGTGTAAAATAGTTTTTCCATGTGTGGCTGAACTTCCAGAACGTCCAAAAGTTTCCGATTGTCATATTGTATCTATGAAACCATAAAAAAATGTATTACAATTTACTGTATTGCTTTATATACAGTGTCCCTTAATGCTGAGTATTTG